TCTTATAATAATTAATCCTCTCTAAGAGCACATAAAGTAAAATTGAGTGGTAAGTGCACACATGATTTAGCAATATATCCAGATTCGAATCTCATTTATCCCCGTACTATTGTATTATGCTTCTTGGAGCCAACTTGATATATAATATTTTAAAAAAAAAAAAAAGAAAAAGAAAAAACATCGGAGTGCTTTTCTTATGATTTATCAAGTGTCTAATAATGTTTTGGCTTTATAGGAGAAAGCCCTTATGCCCGGGAGTGGATGCCAAGCCTAAGGTATGAACGCATTATGAGCCGTAAACAAATGTTTGATACGGTGTGTCAAAGATGAAAAATATGTCACTCACCAACAAATCACAAACCTTCCTTTCTCCTCATCATCATTTTTTTTTTTATTTTCCTTCTTTTTTTTGTCTTCACTTTTTATTTTCTGCCATGCTTCTAAATCATCCATCATTTTTAGCTTGGTTGTGGTATTATATATACTTTCAAAGTTAAAGTAAATTTAGGTTGGAATTTCCTCTTTAGAACTTACAAAAAAAAAAAAAATTAAGAAAAAATAACGAAAGAAAGGAAAAATGCAAAAATTTCAAATGAAAAAGGTGAGAAAGTTGCTCTCTAGGTTTGAGTCTTTGACGTAGATTCAAGGAAAGAGCAATTAGAGAAAGTTGCAATATTTTCTACTGAAATGCCAGCATGTTCCCAAATCCCAACCACCCATAAACATAATTATCTGCCAACCAAGTTCCCAAAATTCCAACGAAAGCTTGGCCTTCCGTTTTTGGATATTTCAAGTCTTAAACCCATCTCTCCCAAAATGAAATTTCTTCAAGAGGATTTTGAATTTTGATCATCTGATCATATCTTGTCTTGTCTTAAAATGGAAAGTGGAAAGAGAAGAAGTAGTTGCTCTCTACATGGTCCCAACCCTTTGTGAAGTTTGTGCTAACTATAATTTTGGTTTCTTAGCCAAAATTGTTGACCTTCTTATTTAATGGTGTAGAAGCTTAAGAAGAAAGACTACATCCAATGAAGAAATTAAACCAAAAATGTCTTCCGGCACTAAAATTTCCGAAAAAGAAAAGTAAAAGTCAAAATGCTCAAAAGCCTAAAAAATCATCATTATTACTTTCAGTTGCACTAAATAAAACAACCTTACACTTTAACACTGACATTAAAAATATTTAAAAAAAAAAAAAAAAAAGAGAGGGAGAAGAGCCCATTAGACCTATACAGGCCATACTGGGCTTAAGCACCCGCTTAAGGTAGCACACAGCTTAGGTAAAGAAAAAATGTATGATGAAGTTAAATGCTGTATAAAGCCCACCAAAGTCAAAAGGTGGGCTGAAAAAAATAAACAGAAGACAACTCGCATTGGGCTTTTTGAGTAGCCATCCAAAACATTGGGCCTTATTGGCTACATATGAATTGAGTGGCTTTAGCCCCTTGTGCTCCTCAATGGAAAAATATTCCCTTTTATTTATTTTTAATGTAATAAAAAAATTCGAAAATCTTTAACTGAAATTTCCCTCAAGCAAAAACACATATGGAAAAGCTGATAAATAAAAGGTCAGACAGAGATGAAATATGACAATTATGACAACTTGGAAATTCTTAAATGATTCCTAAAGATATGTGCCCAAAAGGACTCTTTAACTTTAAGTAATCATGCCATACAGTAAATCTTTCAAAATTCCATCAAAATTATGTGTATATTGAGTACAAAAAAATCCAGTCTGGATATACTCAGATTACTCACTAAAAAGATACAAAAGGAACTTTTGCTAACTAATACTATAATTTTTATGATGACATTATTAATAGCTAAAGTCCACATAGACAAAGTTTAATGTTATCTTAATGTGATATGATTAACCTCCAGCTAAATTCCACCTGTACATGATGTGGAAAATCTGGTCCCACTTTCCTTCCAATCCTAGCTGCCTGCTACCTTTGTTATCTAACTAGATTTATTTTATTAGGTTTCTATTGTCAAGGATTAAGTATTAAGGCAGGTAGTTATTCACAACCCTTTTTTCCTTGGCCTACTTACCATGCAAATTTTTTTTTTTTTTTTTTTTTTTAATAACTAATTGTCCAGGATTAAGTATTAAGGCAAGGGTAGTTAATTCAACAAACCCTTTTTTCTTGGCCTACTTAAATCAAAATTTTTTTTTTTTTTTTTTTTTAAGAATTCAAAAATGGCAAATGTTGTTTTTTTTTTTTTTTTTTTTTTTTTTTAATAATTCAAAAATGGCAAATGTGTTTAATGATTTTGGCATGGCCATTCATTGAAGAAAGTGATTAACAAAAATATAATTATCCCATCATCTTTTTATCAAATAACAATTTTATTTACTAACCCTTTTACCCTCTCGCATGCTAACAGCCAATTCATTAGGTGAGAAGTCATTGTTGGTGGAATTTCATTTCATTGCTTATCAACTTTATTTGGTATCCAAAATCAAGAGAGGACACATTTTGTGTTGCTTGACAGTCAGACTTTTAATTTAAAGGCTTCAAATTCAATTTTCTATTTATGTTTGAGTTTATGATTTTATTTTTATTTATAATTTCTGTCTATATTAGGGTTTACTATGCTTTATTACAGCATTATATCAATATATCTTGTATCATAATATTTAGTTATAAAAAAGTTGCATAGCTTCATAATAATAATAATTAATCAATTAATATTTAAGATTAAAATAATAAAGCACAAACAAACAATTCGCTCCTTGACGATGTAATTTTGGGTATTTAGAGGTGTTTGCGAATTGTAGAGTATCATTCTCTTATGGTTCGAGAATTATTAAAAGCTGATTTGATTGTTATTGATCGATCGAAGTTTAATTTATTTTTAATTTAAAAAGAAAAAAAAAAGGCTAATATTGATGGTATATATGGGATTAGTGTTCTTCCATATTTAGAGGCCCTAAATCAAGGGTATTAATTTATTAACTTAGCAGGAAAACCTAATTTCTCGAAGAAAGGTATAGAAAAATGAACAATAAAATAAGGAATGGAAGGAGAATATAATATAATTTAAATAAAAAAGGGATCTCAGTCTCTCGTTTGGTATCTTTTGGCGTTTGGGCCAGGTTAGATCTCTCCGTCTAATATGCAAATATTATGTTTTCACAGTTGTCCCCTCTGCACGTGTGGCCCTACCCCAGTCAAACGCACCACCACATTTCACCGATTTTCTTTAACCCTTCCAATAAATCGCCGCGCCAGGGATGCTCTTCCACATATGCAATATGTGTCTTTATAATTATAAACGAAATAACTACACACCCATTGTAATTTAAATATTTAATAAACATAAATCTAGTAAAGCAAGCTTTCTTTTGATTTTATTTATCAAAAATTCATTTTTAAGTAAATAAAAAATTGAATTTGATGTAGTGCTTGGACAAAACTTTTTTTTTTCTTTTTAAATATAATAAAGGGTCTAATCCAAATTATCTAATTAGCCGTGGCTATACACACCCATCAGATTAGCCTACACCACACATAAACACGAGCTGGCAGAATTGAGAAAGTGCTTTAAGCTACCATCACAGTTAATTGTTAACCAAATGCATCCGCTTGATAATCATCTATGATTTTATTGATTTTTCCACGTCTATAGAAAATATGAATGAAAAATGAGATGTTTTAAATTCTCTCTAACACATAAATTATTATCAATTTGGTAAATATTATTTTAAAACACGGACCATCCATTTTATATAATCAATAATATTATTCCATTTTGGACTCCCATATAGAAAATATCCTTATTAAAATTGCGTACTTAAAATGTGTTTAAAAGAAAAATTCACCCATTTCCAAAATTTCCCAAATTCATCGAGAAGTTAATGATTTAGTCTAATATATTTTTATATTTTTATTTTATATTTTTCAGCATAGGTTTGCTAATCCAAAAACATTTTTAATAATAATAGTAATAATAATAATAAATTAATACAAATCATGATTTTCTATTATATTTCACAAAATTCAATTGCTTCGGACAAATGGTTACAAAAATCAATGAAGTTAGAGCAAGAAATATACACGATTACTGCCCGTCGAGCGTTTTCGGTGTCGGCAACAGAGGCCAAAGTAAAACGGGTCAACGTAAGACTACCCAGAGTTCGTTAAAATCGTGAATTTATCGCCGAGTACTTGTGAATTTTGGCGCCACTAAAGAAAGTGGGACCCGACCAACCAACTATCTCAAGGTTCTTCCAGCCCTTTGTAATTTGTGCCTAGGCTTTTTCCAACACTACCACCTTTTCTATTGCATCGCTTAATGGTTACTACTAATCTCGTGAATTTCGTTTCCCATTTTGCCCTCGATTCTTTTTTCTTTCGAGAAAAAATAATAATATTTTTATCATTTTTTCAAGAATATTTCTTTGACAGTAATAATATTCATCATGCAAAAAAATATATATGAAATTACTTTTAATGCGATAAAATTTATCCATATATTTTTAAAAAATAAACTTTTAATGCGTGATTATAAATTTATTTTTTTATAATTATCATAGTAAGTTAATAATATCTAACTACAATAATATGAAAATTAATGTGTTTATGGATATAAATAAATAAAGATCGAGAACAACGTTAATAATTTTTTAAAACTACAAAAATCCAGAGTAATTAATATATTAATATACACCATAAAATGTTAATTAATATTTTGGCAAACAAATCACTTATTATGCAAAAGTAGGTTTAAAATACTTAATGATTTAAAGCTTAGAAATGTGAAATATTTGTAAACTTTTCACACAATAATAACTATGACTAATAAAATTTTATCTTATTATTATCTGAAATGTTTTATTTAGATAATAAAATCATTGATATTTTTCATCTATCTAATAAAATGAGAAATAGTATTGATAAATTAAAATCAAGGGTAGGTTAGTAATACGAAAAGCATCGTTAAATATCTACACACTGCTGCAGGTCTCTGGTGCACACCCTTCAACTGTTGAGTCTTCTCTGAAAGTCGCTTTCGCTTTTTACAGTGACAGCAAATTACCAGAGAAGCTGAAAGTGGAAAAACGCACAAAACTTAACCAAACAAACAATGCTCTGTTTGCAGGTCCCTCATTCTCTGCTTCTTCTTCTGCTCAAACCCCCCTTAGTACTTGCATCAATACTATTCTATTAACCAAAACTCACCATTACCTTCTCCACTCTAACCATTTCTCCAAACCCATCTTTTTTTCCTTCTTCTCTCAATTCTTGATTATTTTTCCTCCATATTCTGTAAAAAGAAACTGGAAAAAGAAATATACTTCTGTAGATCCCATTCCACGTTCTTCTTGATCATTTGTACTGTCCCCATGTTTCTTTTTACTGTTTTCTGCTAAGTTGTCAGCTTTAGTCACTATCCTTCACTAAATTTAGCTAAGTACTTATTCTTTTATCAAATTTATGCTTCTTTTATTCCTTTCTTTTTTAATTTTATTTCCGAATTCTCTTCATAGAGTTCAAATCTTGAACTTCCCTTCCTACTTTTCTTGAAATTTATTCCAAGTTTATTCTTAAAATTCAAATCTTGAATCTTCTTGGTACTCTAATTGAATACGAAAATTTTAAGTACAATGAATTTTTTGTTTCTACTGATATGCTTTGTTTCCCTTCGAATCCCTTCTGTACGCTCATATTCCACACAACCCATGAATTGTACGGATACCACACGCTTATGCACATCGTTTATGGCCTTTAAACCTCAAGAGAATCAGACTCTAGCAGTGATCCAAAGCATGTTCGATGTGTTGCCCCAAGATGTAACCGTGGAAGGCAGTGATCATGGGTACATATTCATCAAGAAGAATTGCTCTTGCTTATCCATAGACAAGGTTTATGCCTCGAATACTACATATACAATGAAATCAAGCGATGGTTATGTGTATGACATTGTGATCAATGCTTATGATGGGCTTGGTTTTCTTCCAAATACGACAAGAAAAGCCAAGGTTGGTGCAGTGATTTCATTGAGGCTGTTTTGTGGGTGTTCAAGTGGGTTGTGGAATTACTTGATGAGTTATGTGATGGGGGAGGGAGATACTGTGGAGTCATTGTCAAGTCGATTCGGGGTTAGCATGGATAGTATCGAGGCAGTAAATGGAATAGGGAATCCTGATAATGTTACTGTTGGTACTCTTTACTATATTCCTTTGAATTCAGGTTAGTCTTGTGCTCCAATTTTGTCAGTTTTTCTATATATGCTCCCGATGTGCAATATCAAATGATTTTAGGAAACTTGTTCATTTTGGAAATGTTTATGAGTTTAAGATTTGAGGAACCTGTAATTTCTGGTATATGTAAATATCTGCAATGCCATGCCTTTTTGAGTTGATAGTTAGCTTGCTTTTGGGAAATAGATAAATTTTGGCAAAAAATGTAGAAAGTAGTTTGCTGGTAGTTTTTGTATTTATGGAGTTGGAATCTCAATGAACCCTCAGGACGTGTGTAGCCTTGTGCCAGAGACGCCTTGTTTACTTGTGAGGTTAGAATGACATGATGACAGTCTATTATGCTATTTTCAAAATCTTGAGATTGGCTTGAATGATGGGTTGAGAGGCGAAATTGTGATTCATCACGGTGCAATTTTTGGCTATATGTAGTTGGGATAGATTTTGAGTAACTTCTCTAATTTAAGGAAGTTGGAAATAGGTTCAAATGTTATTGATTCTAATGACATATCAAAACAAGAATCTATAATTATAGTTTGCAAATCTTTGGTAGCTTTTTGTAAGAGCAGCATTATATGATGCTCAGAAAATGTAAAACTGAACGCAAACAGTTGGATACTTAACTGTCAGTGTTGTGCCCAACTTGAAGCAATTGGCATTTCTTGTATTCCTGTGAAGGGGAATGGTGCTAGAAAGGCCTGTGAAACCAATATCAAGAGCTTAAGCAAGCTCACAGATTTAGAGCTGCAGTTAAATTATAGCTGGAGAAACTATCTTTCTAGTGGATTGTGTGGTAAATATTTGCTGGATAAGGAGATAAGCTGAATGGATTTCAGAGTATTCTCAGAAGAGGTCTTTAGCATTCAATTCCCCAACCCAAAAGTTAGCTTACTTGATTCTGCAACCTCATATTCAGGTGCATACACAGAGCAGCTTTGCACAACATCCTATTTGATATGCAATCTCAAATTTCTTAGCAGATCATGCAAGTGGCAGTTGGTCAGCATATAGGAATGGAAGCAAATTAAAGGCTGTATAGTGCTCGAAAAAATAAGGATTAATTGTCTTTAATGGAGCAAGCACTTTTGGTAATAGAAGTCCGGATGGTTATTAATGCCTAACATCCCACTTTGTTGTGCCTTTTCAATCATTTATACTCAACTGGATTTCATTTTAGTCCTTTTCTTTTGGCTATCTATTCTAGTCATTTTTGTAAAATTATAGATGCACCTTATTTGGGCCGCTATTTGCTTATTAACCTCTCCCTCTCTTTTTTCCCTCTTCTTATTATTCGTTTTTCCCAGTTCCTGGTGAGCCTTATCCTGTGGAGAATGACATTCCTCTTAGTCCCACTCCAGCTCCTGAACCTTCCTTGGATAATTTCTCAGGTATTTTATCTCTGTAATGTTGTTAAACAAAAGAAGCTGTTTGTCCTTTGTTATGCTACTTTATGAATTCAATAACTGCTCACACGTACAGACATTTGAGTTTTTAAATAGTTGTGTATTTTGCTGAATGTATATAAGTTAACAAGTGTCAGCAGCTTCCATAAAAGAAAAATTATTGATGTAATAATTGGAGCATCAAGCATATGAAAATGAAGATGTAGCAAGAAACTTAATAGTTCAGATATATGACATATCTTTGGATACTGAATATAAGAAAGAAGTTAAATACTTTAAGTATTGTATATGAACGGATGACTAGTGTTAACATGCATTTATTGTTAGTTTACTACTCTTATCGAGGTTAGATAATATAATCAACTTAGAGCCATAGTAAATCTGTCTCCAATTCCCTTTCGATCCGTTGATAATATCCAAATGTTGATTTATATTCTCTGGACATCTTTTTTTGGTTTCCAAGCTTCTGATTATGATTCTTACCCCCCATTTTTTCCTTGCCTTTTTTAATTTGATTGACATTTCTTTAGGTGTAATCTCAGTTCAGTTCTCATATGTCATATTATGACTTGAATGCCTTATGCATGCAGCAAATCCAGTGAAGCACAAGGCACATATATCTTATGTATGGATAATAGGTGGTCTCGGGGTTGGTCTTGCACTGATTTTATTTTGTATAGTCGTTTGTGTATGCTTGAAGTCCTCTAGCTGCTTTTCTAAAGCTCGAGGAGATCGTGCTAAAGACCCTGATGGCAAGAGTTCTCATAAGTTTCATATCCTTCGCAAGCCAAGTTTCTGCTGTGCTTCAGGGAGGTACATGTCTGGCAAATCTGGAGACTGGAAGCAAACAAATGGGGAGTCTAGCAGCCACCAAAATACTATACCTAAAGGTTTTATAAAACCATCTATGAGATTCTAAAAGAGCTTTAGATGCTTGAATTTCAGCATTAGCCATTGTTTTCTTTTTCATGTTTGATATCATCAAAGTGCTTATTTTGCCAAGTTTAAGTTCACATGTATGATTCCATATTCTCATTGACAGCTTTAGGAACTGATATGCTTGACATGGAAAAGCCTGTGGTTTTCACATATGAAGACATTATTTTTGCCACTGATGGATTCTCTGATTCAAATCTTATTGGGCATGGAACGTATGGTTCTGTATATTATGGCCACCTTCATGACCAGGTTTCTAGCTGTTTCCTTTGTTTCTTAGTTTTATATCATGGTGTATAGTAATTCTCATTGTCACTCGATGTTAACCTTTCAGGAAGTTGCCGTTAAGAGAATGACTGCTACAAAAACTAAAGAATTTATGGCAGAGATGAAAGTCTTGTGCAAGGTCCACCATACAAATCTGGTAATTCTTTTGGTAAATTAAAGGTTCACCAATGGTGCTTTTGGTTTTCTAGCTTGTTTCTTTCAGCAATTCAAAGTTTTGACTGTATTGTTTTAATTTTGTCAAGGTAGAATTGATTGGCTATGCAACCAGTGATGATGAGCTCTTCCTGATTTATGAATATGCTCAGAAGGGTTCACTTAAAAACCATCTGCATGATCCTCAGAATAAGGGTAAGTTGCTTAAGCTTGCTTAGAATACTGTGTTCATGGCTGTGTGCTGTAGTTGTTTCAGTGTTGCTTGTTTTGGACCGTTTAAATTTCTTAAGTTTATAATTCTCAAAAAAAATTTGTTGAGTTTAGCAGTGTTCTAAGAAAATTTTGAACATGTCACATTATGAATTTACTCTGCCTTTATGGTGAGAATACGTATAGAACTATGCCTTTCATGGCGAGAAGTTTGGGAAGATGTCCAAAATGAACTTACATTTTGGCCTGCATATGGATAGAATCAGTTGGTTTGATAATAAGATGAAGTGACTATGTTGCCTCACATGAAAAAGAAAAGAATTGATAATGTTAAGAAGAATTTAACTCATTGTAGCCTACTGTGTAGCATGATTTTCTAATCTGAGAGGACAGGGAAATGCTCCTTTTCCTCCTCCTCCTCCTCTCTCTCCCTCTCTCTCTCTCTTCTTTTAAGTCTCGTAATCTCTCTTCTCCATCATATATAATATTGCAAATGGTAGCATTTAATTGACCCAGAAGTGCTTCTCAGATCCATAGTTATGGTTCATGTACCCGTGACATTCATATGTGATACTGATGTTGCAAATGTTGCTTCCTTGAAGGTTATACGTCACTTTCGTGGATCATGAGGGTCCAGGTTGCACTTGATGCAGCTAGAGGTCTGGAATACATCCATGAGCACACTAAAACACACTATGTCCACCGGGATATCAAGACAAGCAACATCTTACTTGATGGTTCCTTCAGGGCTAAGGTTTTCACATATTAGATTTTACTGATTGCTTCTTGTAATCTGAAGATACATTGCTTCATCTCAAAAAGTTTTTGCATTTAGATTTCAGATTTTGGATTGGCAAAACTTGTTGGGAAAAGAGGCGAGGGAGAGACTACAGCAACAAAAGTTGTTGGTACTTTTGGTTACCTGGCACCAGAGTAAGCAAATAGACTGTCGGTCAGCTATCGTGGTCCATACTAAGTCCTTCTAATAGTCTTACTTTTAGCATTGGTTCTGTGCAGATATTTGAGTGATGGTCTTGCCACAGCCAAAAGTGATGTGTACGCTTTTGGGGTTGTTCTTTTTGAGATCATATCTGGGAAGGAGGCCATCATTCGAACTGAAGGTGCCGTAACAAAAAATCCTGAAAGACGTTCACTAGCATCCATTGTAAGTGTTGTTATTGCACCAAAATCCATCATATTACTGAGAACCATGTTTTTGTATTAAATTTTCGTAATTTCAAACTTTCACAGTTTGTTAATATTTGAAAGCCAGAAAGTCTCGTCGCAAACTCACTGAAAAGTTACCAACAATAAAATGTTTACATTATAACTTTCATTCCTGATAAAGTGTCCAACAACTTCTGTTCTTGGGTGTAACTGTAGAGTACAGAAGTATTAGTTTGGATTGGTGGCCACAGTTCTGCAAATGTGATTGGAAGTGTTTGCCATACTTTTTGCATTGTCACTGAAGGTTTGATTGAGCTTCATCTGCTCTTGTAGAAGCATAGATATCTCTTTTATCCGACTCCCACTTCTTTCTTGGTGATGAGTATGGTAGATTCAGAAGCTGTATGATTGAAAAACAATGTGAGAAGTGTAGATTGAAAAACTGAAAGGCTGCATACCTCCCAATCTTAGGGCTTTCAATTTATTAAATGATTTTAAACTTAGAAGAAGTTGAAAGAACGTTTTAGTCAGTAAATATGCATGCTTGTCCTGTGCATATTCTCAATTCCAATTCTCTTAAACTCTTAGGCTTATGAATGTTCATCTCACTTTTCTGATTATGATGAATCTGCTGTGATTCAAACACTATTTGTTTTGCAAATATCACGTGTCCTTATTTCACTGAGTAAACATCCACACAGTGTGCTACTTAACTGAAACATTTTTTTCATAAAATTGCAGATGCTAGCAGCTCTTAGGAACTCACCTGACTCCCTGAGCATGTCAAGCTTGAAAGATTACATTGATCCCAATATGATGGATTTATACCCTCATGATTGCGTATTCAAGGTAAATTTATCATCTTTCCTCGTGTTAAATAATGGTTGTTGCTTTAAAATAGCATAGATGTCTATTTTGCAATTGCACCTTCAAATCATATTGTTGTGACTCGACTTTTTAACTAATTTCTTTCTTGGTGGGATGTCATTGCGCAGTTGGCCATGCTTGCAAAACAATGTGTAGATGAGGATCCCATCCTGCGGCCTGACATGAAGCAAGTTGTGATTTCATTATCGCAGATCCTTTTATCCTCCATTGAGTGGGAAGCAACTCTTGCAGGAAACAGCCAAGTATTCAGTGGCCTGGTCCAGGGAAGATAGTGATCAAGCAAGCTCCTATTCCAATTCCTACTCCTTTGCCCTTCTTTGTTTCTCCATTATTTACCCACTTGAGCCCTATATGTAGTTAATTAGGCGCATGCATAGTAGCTTTGATATTCCAATAAAGAGGTGATATGGTACCTATTAATATTACTATTGATTTTGTACACAAGTTTTACCTCTGGATGGAAAATTTTGATGCAATGTAAAAATGTGGTTATATTATATAGCTAGGGAAAAGTTTTATAGCTCCTGTAGACAAGATAGTTTGGTAGCCCATTGCAATAGCATATTTTGGTCTTTATCCACAGTTTTTTCTGTTATTGAACCCCTTTAGTATATTCTATTTGTTAACTTGGATAGAATTGAAAATTGTAGGCATTACAGATAAGTTTGTTGTACAGATTTGTAAATACCGAACACTTTTGGGGCTTCTGCGGGTCATATACATAACCAACCAACCGACTTACCTAATTAAGTACCTTTAGTTGAAGAACTAAGGCATCTGAATTCAACATCTTGGTATTTTTAATATGATGGTGGTACAAGCTTATTTTTTGCACTAGTTGCTTCCTTGCTATTAGCATGGTGATAAGGAAACTACTTGCAAAGGGAAGCTAGTACTCGACGAGGCAGATTGAAGGGTTTCCGGGCATGAAGAACAGCCCAGTTATCTATCAACAGAAAATCACCTTTCTGCCAAGGAATGGCAACACTTTCATCCTCTAGGATTTTCAAACAGTCGTAGATGATATCACCGGGTAATGGTTTACCATCTCCAAAGGTTACTGCCTTAACAGGATCATTTCTTGCATCTTCCCATCCTGTGTATGCAGCCACCATGCTATTGAACCAAATCTTCCGATTTCTTGACTTGTCAAGTTTAATAGCTGGGATTGGACCCATTATTGTCTTCACTCCATCTTCTAACCATTCCAACTTCATTCCTAGCTTAGCTGCTCTGTTGAAACATAACATGAAAATCAATTACAAACGAAATTGAACATAACATATCACAAGAAAGAACAAAGAACAAACCTTTCTTCTGCCACGCTTTTGTCTTTGGTCAAAAAGGTTGACTTCCATCCTCGGCCAATTGGAGATGAAGGATCATCATCTTCACCCAATACTCGAATATAGATCAAACCATGCTCTTCTAATCTCTCAACAAAATCTGGATACTTTTCTTTCATTCTTTCATATACTATATGGCTTAGAACTAACGGAGTTTCTCCTCCACTCCCTGGTTCAATTTCACAGAAGAAGAACAACTTGGATGGAAACTCAGGAACCTGAAAAAAATAACATGAATCAAATAATCAACTCTTACTCAATAACTTACATAATTAATACTTTGCTTACAGTCTTGATTAATTTTAAGGACTTTACCTGAGCCATTTCATGGTGGAAAGGTATTTTCTGATCAGGTGGGGACTCATTGGCAGTGAAGACACGGCCGACGACATTAGTCCGAGGAGCGGCGCCACCAACGTAAGGTAACTCCTCGAAACCGAATGCTTCCACGACGTCGTTAAAGTCCGAGGCGGTGTTTACGGGAAAGCCTCTAAAGAGAATCGCTCCAGTTTTGTGTAGTAAAGAATCGAGGTAAGGTTTCTCATTTTTAATGGCGTCTGTGAGGAGAGAAAGCGAGGAAGGAAATGATAGGGAAGTGTTTGGAGAAACAACGGAAGGAAAAGGAAGGGCATCGAAGTACTTTTGTCTTGGGATCTCAATTTCCTTAAAATATTTCGCCATTGTTGCTACCGTGAAATTGTGCTCTCTCGTTTGATTTTAATTGTGGATGGAGCGTGCTCCGGACGCGCCATTAGCACCGTCGTGACTGTTGTGGGGACTCACTTTGACGTGGCTCACTTTGATGGATGGAAAATTCCGTCTAGGTTCAATGCGTTGGTTTTTTCCTTTGGTTTTGGGCCCAATAAAAAATGGACTTGACCTAATTAGCCCAACGAGCCCAATCCAGTTCAACTCCATTTCGAACTCGAAATCGTTGCTACTCATTGCCCGCTTGCTTACAAATTCAAATCTAAAAAATGGGAAGTGGATTGTAGAGTGAGAGAGGGAGAGAGAAATGGCTAGAAACGAAGGGAAAGCGAAATCAGCGAGGAGAGCACTGAGAGATGTATCGAATAACTTCAATAATCACGTTAGCAGTAACAACGGTGGAGGAGGAAAATTCTCGAAATCTGTGAATACGAATAAGAAACTGATCTCAGAGAAGCAAATCGAGAGCCAACAAAGTGTTGCTACGGTTCAACAAGAATGCAGCGGTGGAGGAGAAGAAGAAGACTATCTCGATCGTCTCTTGCTTGTTCAATCCAATCTCTCCTCCCTCACTCGCCAGGTAACACCTACGCACAAACAAAAACTCTGGTATTGGCTTTGATATTTGCTAGCATCATCTCTTTATGGTCAAATGTTGAGAGTTCATATCAATCCATCGACGTACTGTTGTTTTTAGTTTGAATTTCGGAGCTGCTTCATGATTTTACTGATGTAGATCGCGTCACAGTTATTCTGTTTTTTGCTCAACTGAGAAGTTTAAATTGGGAAACTCACTATTCTATGTTTGATTGGATTCTAAATTTTTCCAATCCATACATATTTGTATATTAGAATAATAGTACCTTCTTTCAAACCAGTTAGGAAAAAAGAACTGAAAAAGGAATTTATCGGACATTGGCAATGAAATTTTGAGGTAATTGCTGCTGTTATGTTAGCATAAACGATAGGCCCTTGTTTTGTTGCCATCAGTTATCATTGTTTCAGCTTTTCATATGATAAATGTTACTGAATGTAGTGCACTTTTCTCTGCTTTTGTTTCCAACCAGTATTAACTATAACTACTGAGCATTTGGGTTTGTAATTATGAGAACTCTAAAGAGAACAAGCAAAGAGTGGAGCAAGATTCATGAAGATACAATATCTGTTCAATTGTCCTGTTTCTGTTTACTGGAATTTTTTCTTCATGTGGTGTGCCAAAACCTTATATTTTCTTCTAGCACCACTTTTCTTATTTTAGCACCATAATAACACAATCCAGGCGAGGAAAAATGTTGAGAGCTTGGATTAATAGATATAATCTCCACCAGATTCTTTGGACGCATATTAACGTTAGATAGTTTCATGAAGTATGGATGCAATGCATGCATACTGACCTAAGGACTATTGTCGCCGGTTCTTTCTGTCTGAAAGATTTGATTAAATTGGCTATTTTCTTTTCTTTATGGCAAAAGATTTGTGCAAAACTATGCCTGTATCATGCATGCTATTTTATCAATTTTACAGATTGATGAACTTGTTGCGGAAGCATTTAAACTCAAGGCCACAAGCAAAGAGGGAAGAGGAGAAGTTGAATCCTTTTCTCATGTATTGTCAGATATGCTTTCATCTTTAAAGGTTAGTTTTATAGTAAATTCAGTTTGCATTGTAACCTGAATAAACTCTTTTGCATAAATGACATGGAGTGTCACGTACAATAATTGTAGCCATGGGTTCCCAGATTTCAAAAGGTCCTCTCAAGTCCTTCCAAGAGTGAGAATGAGTCTGGGAAGCGTTTGGGAGAGAAAATTGTGTCTGCTGTAAATGAAGACGAAAACTTAGAGGTTGAAAGTCCAGAACAAACCAGGATGGACTCATTGATCTCTCCTTCTCCTCTTGTGTCCTGGCGAGCTGACTGTAATATTGAGAGAGGCAAACAACTCTTTCTGCTAACACCCCTTCCTATATCAAAAACACTGTCATCTAAACATCAGGACTTGTCTAAATCACTATTTGAGAGAATTGCTTCAAATCCTGCTGTTGAGCTACCATCAATTTTATCAGTTTCTGGAGACTTAAATGATGATTTGCTTGAAGGGATAGCTACAAAGCCAACCCTGACGAAGCCTTCTGATTTGCTTGTGAATGAAGGAAAAAGCAACATTGATTCTGAATGTTTTTCACCACCAATCCTTTCCAAAAGAGATCACTCTATTTTTGTTATGACACCATGCTTAAAGATGTCCCCTCCAAAATCATGTGTATTGCTTGAACCCGTTTCCGAGCCTTCTCATAAAAACAGAGCCATGGTTCGGCAGTCCACCCCATTTCCTGTAGGACTTCATTCGCAGATTTCTGAATCCCCCTCTGACAGTGAAGGTTCTGAGGATCTGGCTTTCAAATATCCAGAGCTCTTGGGCATACAGGCAGCCTACAAATCCAAATTCGGACAGAAAGAGTTAGAGGCATCCCCGAAATGGTCTTTTTCACCTCCTAAAACATGTGTTCTATTAGAGCCACCAGATGAGAAATCACCAGACACGATCGTTGCTGCTGATAACCACTTGCCAATAAGTGCTCCTCTGTTGAATCAGCAAACGAATTTGAGTTTATCAAAATACAATGATCAGGACGGTTGTCATGAAATCAAGAAATCTTGTAACCATGGTATGCACAATTTGATTTGTATAAGCTTTTCCTTTACTGAAACCATAACTGTGTATAATTTTGACAGAGCTTCTTTTCTCAACAGAACCCATACATGAAAACTTCAACCTAGTAGAAAGCACACCTGTGTGGAAAGAACCGGAAAGCACAATTAGGAGAGGTAAGCGTCCTGGTGAGAATACTCTGAAGAAGGAACTGTGGACAAAGTTTGAAGCAGCATCTACTTATGGGCTTCGTTTGAATGCGTTTTCATTGCAAAGGACTGCACAAAAAGGATTTCTTGACATGCTTGATGAAGTTTCTCTTGATGGGGGAAGGCCTTCGGCTGATAGTTTAAGATAACATTCTTCTCGATGTTTAAAGATTTTGATATGCAAATCATTTTGTATGTTATTTACTTTGCAATTGTATGTTTAGCTGTGGGCCTGTGGCAACTGGCCAGGGCTTGGCAAATATTTTGATGTATACGTCTTCTTAAAAGCTTATAAGTTGCTACTTTCCGTCTTTCGGCATTGTTTCCTTGTTAATTTGCGCCTCATATGTGAAACTGTGAATCTTCAGTATTTGCGAGAAAACCCCATAAGTTGAAAAATCTGCATATTGGCCACTGGTAAGATGAGGAAAATTCATGCCTCAAAAATTATTTAAAATACTCCGAAGTAAATTATTAACTTATGCTCTATCATGCACATTAATTTTATTTTGTTAAATGTAAATTATTTAACTTATGTTTTATTATGCACAGTAAAGTATAGTTTAATGGTAAACGCATGAATGATCTGATTATAAGTCCAAAATTAAATCTTCTTTTAAAAACTTATACTTGGTTATAATCACTGTTATAATATCTTTTTTTTTCTTTAAACGGAATGGTTATAATATTTTTTATCATTTCATCTGTACCAATAAAAATTATAATATACTATCTATATTTATTCTATTTTAATGTGAAAATTAAGTAATGAAGTTATATAGTCCATCATTAATTCAAATGACAAAGAAATCTTTTTTATGTTACTTTTTAAAAGCATTCCACATTTTTTTTTATTTCATAATCTTTTGTATGAATTTATTTAATATTTTTAAAATTTTTTTTATTTGAGAAAACTAAAGTATTTAAACATATAAAATGACATCTTATTCACGGAAAAGCACCTATAAAATGACTTTAATACTTTGGTAATTTTGAGCTATTGTCGAACATGGTATTCATCAATCTAAATCATAAGGGTGTCCAAGTAAAATAACTAAACGCTTCTGGGCCAAAAAAGAAAATACAATAATATCTGCGAATTTATGTAAATAGCTAAAGTAATTGGGTCTTATATAAATAAAGTAATCTTACCCGCTCTGTTGAGTGTTGCTGTCTTTGCTGTCTTGCTATGTCAAGAGCTTAAATTGTTAAACCCTCCTTTATTGTCTTTGAAACTCACAAAACCCTAAACTCACTGTATTGATAAAGAATGGCAGAACCGAGTAAGCTGACTCAGCATATCGAATCATACGTAGACTCGTCTCGCTCCTCAACTCAGCAGGTTCATGGATTATCCTCCTTATAAAATTGTTCCAATATTTGTCAATTAGAGTAAATTCTACTCTCTCTTTCCTTTTTAAATAAAAGCTAATGTATATGTAAAAGCATATTTATCCATTGTTACCAATTAATAACGGTTGGTTTTTGTTGAATTCAGAAGTATTGCTACATTATCTGATTTTAATTAAAAATTTTGAAAGAATAAAAATTCGTATGTATAGATTGTGTGCATGGGTATTTAACACAATATTTTGCTAATTTCAGACTAGTTTCAGCTTATACTTAATTCATGCCTTAAATACAGGCTGCAAGTTTGGACGCCATTGTTTCCCTCCTGAAGAATGATGCAGTAACTATAGGATCATTGGTATATTTACTACTTATTATTATGAAATTATGTACTTGAAAGTTTATTTGGTCCTTGTATTATACTTCAACACTTTTATGAAAATTTAGGTAAAGGAAATGGACTTGTATTTGACTACAACAGATGACATATTACGTGCAAGAGGTACCTTTTCTTCTTACTTTAAAGTACATATTAAGTGCAACAGATGACATTGTAAACAAGTTAAAATAGAAATTTACGAGCAAACAATTGCATGTTTATGTTGTCTCCATTTGAGAACATGGTAGGCTTTTTAGGTCATTTTTGTTTGCAGGTGATTTTTTTCACATATTGAGATTCTAATTCTCTTTCTGCTTTTTGGGTTATTGGAAGTTATTTTGTATTTCGATAGCCTCATGCAATGCCTTCCTTCTTAGGTATCCTTCTGCTTGGAGAAGCACTTGTGCGTCTTTCGTCAAAGACACTAGACAATGCGACCATACATAGCTTGATAACATTCTTTGCAGAGCGATTGGTGAGTTTGGCTTTATTATTCAGCAATAATAATTTGTATGGGAGAGCCTGTACTATGGAATATACTAGATTTATATTGTGTTTTGGGTCAAACACTACCATTTTTGAATTTATCTGCAGTCTTTGCATCTTCACTCTGTTACTACTTTTTCCTGTTTTTATTCATGTGTTCCATGGTAACTTCATGATAATACTGAATATCATTTTTAGTAAACTTGCATCAATGGCTGTTCTTTGAACTACTTTCCTTCGGTTTAACTTCTGCTTCCTGATGAATATTGATGTTTTCCTCAAACCCTTTCTTTGAACACCCTTGTGGAGCATATTAAATGTTTTCTTTAAGGAGGATTTGAAAACATATTCTTGTTTGGAGGCTGCATGTCTTTATGGCCCAATGCAAAATTCAATTTGCTGGTCATCTGATTGTCAGAAATTCAATAATATTTTGTGATTGTAAAGAGAGGGTTAAGTGTGGATAACCTTCTTGCATATTTCAGTTGAGCTTCAGATATTCCTTTTTTTTTCTTTTTTTTTTTTTTTTAGCTTTCTTCTAACCAAGGAGGGAATTTTCTTCTGGGCTGCGTCTAGATCTGCGGAATTACAGGATAGTCTGGAATATAGATTGTTGTTTATTTGGTTCCTTTTGGAAGAGCATAACACGGCACAGAAAATTTTAGATGCTTTCTTCAGTTTAAGGTACATTTAAATGAGATTGATTATTCCCTGGATCTATGCTTTGGGAGCTTAGAGAAGCATGCCTTTCTCTGTTTAGTTGATTCTTGATATTCTTTCTGAAGAACCACTGACACTAACTCGTGCATGTCTGCATGAGGCCTTAGGACAATTGCAAAATGAATATACATGTCTAAGATAGGTTCAAATTATAACATGAGGTGCCTGAATACCAAATTAACTGCCGTTTGCATTATTAAAGGCCTTTCTGCGGCGAGCTTTAAACTGGTGAGGCTACAGAGTTAAACCAATCACAAAAGAGTTTTGAGTGCCAAGTCCTTCAGTTCTGGCCCAGCTAGTGAGGTCTGGGCACTTCTGAAATAACTTTACTTACTTTAGTTGCTGGCTCACAACCTTGAGGATTTGTGGAATTTTGTCAATCTTCTTATTTGGAAGATGATTATGCTGGTATGATTACTGAATTGGAATTCTAGGAATAATTAGCACGCTTCTGCTCATAGGGTTTTTGAATACAGTTAATCAGTAAGTTCACAGGAGGTTATCTACCAGAGTTGTGTTATCAACTTTTATCTATTCAGATCTTGTTACTATGTTAAATAATGGAGCCCTTGATTTTCTTTTCATCTGTGAAGTCCTGGTCATACTTGGAAATTACTCCTTTAGATTATGCACATATCCAACACACTGATTAATTTATCTTTGCATCATAATTTTTGTTTCTTTATTTTATTCTTGGTGATATAATGATTACTCTTGTCTTTATTTAATTATCAAAATTATATAGATGATATTATACTTAATCAGGCAGATTGGAGAGCTTTACGTGGTGCACTTGTTGGTTGCTTGGCACTGATAAGGCGGAAAAGTGGTGGCAAAGTCACTGGCTTTGATGCAAAAGCTATTGCCAAGTCTTATTTACTGAATTTGCAGGTGCAGTCTTTAGCACAGCATGACAGGAAGGTAGGTTGTTTCTATGATCAATATCAGTACTTAGTTCCAACTATATAAATGTTATGAGAGATTTCCTCCAAGTTCCTTGAAAAAATTTGTACCATTGCTTGTTTAGTTAATTGCTTCGTGAGATTTCAGCTGTTAAACTTTACCTTTATATTCAATTTGCAGCTTTGCTTTGAACTTCTGGAGTGCCTGCTAGAACATTATCCTGTTGATGTTGCTACAATGGTATTACTCTTGGTCTTGCTTTCCCTCAATTCACAGTCTCAAGTTACTGGCATTTGTTTTTCATATATGATTGTGTACATGATGAAAATAGAAATTACATGTTTATGAGAAGATCAAATAATGTGTCCTGAGCATTGGCTATTTATCATTGGAATCTTAGAGGTTTAGATAATATGACTGAAAATTCTGAAGTATTGAAATATATGATTTTTGTTTGGATTTAAAATGATATCTTTAGCGAGATGGCTGTGCAGGATAAATTGTGCATGGTGTGCAGCATAACCATGGAACTAGTTTTATGGGCTTGAGCAATTGATGCTGATACCTAAAAAACCAATATTAGTTCCAAAAACTATGAAACCTCTCGTTTTATGAATCCAAACTGTAAATGCGACTAAAGTTCTTTCTTGGCGAGTTATATAATTCAAGTGAATGAGATTTAAATAGGATTGACTTGGAAATTGGAATGGAATCTTTATGATTCTAAAAAATAGCCTACTCCTAGTTAGTTTTCAGTTATCTTTTGAGATTCCTCTGCAATTTTTCAGAAATGGGATTAGTGCTGTATTATTCTGTCAGTTGATGTAACCCATTGCAATTTTGCTTTAGGCGCATTTCAGTTGTGGTGTTTTTCTCTCTCCATCCAATTCCGTCTCATTTTCTAGTTGATACTTTAATTGTGTTGATTTGTTCCATCTCCATTTATTCTGATGTTGATTGCTTTATTGATTATGGCTTAGGGAGAGGACCTTATTTATGGAATCTGTGAAGCTATTGATGGGGAAAGGGATCCCCAATGCCTAATGCTGACATTTCACATTGTGGAGCTCCTGGTGCAACTTTTTACAGAACCCTGTAGTCCAATTTCAAGTTTTGCTGGTGACCTTTTTGGCATTTTGGGCTGTTACTTTCCCATTCATTTTACACACGTAAGTTTAGCACATGCTCTTTCTGTGAGTACCCTGATTTACTTTTTCTTTCTATTATTTTTTGTTGTGCACTTTCCTAAGCTTCTTCTTTAACACTTGCTGCAAGTAAAGTTTGTCATCATGTATTTATCAGAATGGAATTGTTCATTAACCAAGCTTCAAGTAGATGTGTTTAGCCTTTCCTTCTAAATGGCAAAGAATACATATTTTGATCCATCTTTTTGCTTATATGTTGGGTTTTCTTCTTATATATATATATATATGCATTTTGGGCTGTTACTTTCCCATTCATTTTACACACGTAAGTTTAGCACATGCTCTTTCTGTGAGTACCCTGATTTACTTTTTCTTTCTATTATTTTTTGTTGTGCACTTTCCTAAGCTTCTTCTTTAACACTTGCTGCAAGTAAAGTTTGTCATCATGTATTTATCAGAATGGAATTGTTCATTAACCAAGCTTCAAGTAGATGTGTTTAGCCTTTCCTTCTAAATGGCAAAGAATACATATTTTGATCCATCTTTTTGCTTATATGTTGGGTTTTCTTCTTATATATATATATATATGTATGTGTGTGTGATCATTTTGCTTGGATGTCGGTTTCTGTGGTGAAGCTTAGAAGTCCAAGCCATATTTTTCCTAATGTTTATCTTTAGTTGCATTCTTGATAACATGATTACTAGAGGGGGATTAGGGTTTTCAATCGCTCTTATCATTTCCACTCGTCTAAGGAGATTAGGGGTTTTCAATCACAAATCATATTCAAATTGGGATAAAAACCTTATGTGTGTTCTTCTACTTTCTGCAAAATCTTTTTTTCTTGTTAACCATTTGCCCATGTGAAAAAAATACCTTAGCTGGTAAAAGTCTCTTTGAGGTCTTACCAGGCATGAAATCTCTCCTTCAAAGGGGATTTTTCAAATTTCTTTCAAGGGGAAAGGATAGGTGGTGGACTACCTGTATTTTATGTCTCTTTGCCATTGAGCTAGAGAAAAAAGTTGTTGGATTTATGTTATATGATGAGATGGAATGTTGAAATCAGAGAGTCCATTCAACTGATGTATAGTTTTAAGATACCAGATCCAAGGTCTAAGTTTGGCTACTTATTAACTGGAATCATGATATGATTAACCTTTGGAAGGTTGACATGTTTGAAATGCTTGAAAATTGATTGATTGATTGGTTTTCAACTTTGGCTTCTGCATCAGCTGCTGTTAAGAACAAGTTTGAGTACATGTCTTTGCCTCACACTCTTAGTGTAATTTGCTTGTTCTTTCTGATTGCAATATTGTCTTGCTTATTGATTTATCTTGTGTTGTTTTCTTTAATTTTCCAGCCAAAAGCTGAGGATATTGATTTCAAAAGGGATGATCTGTCAAGGGCATTAATGGTATGCAATTTAGTTCTTTGTCAAAACTTTAGCTACCTGATAGGAATTATACTTGTTGTCATGTACTTGTTACCCCAATTAGTTATTTTTCATGTAAAGTGCGTGCATTGCTCGAAATATAATTAATATTGTATAAAATTTTTATGTGCTACATTGTTCTGAACCTTTGTTGTATACTTTTAAGTTACAGGTAAAGTTTGTTCAGATACTTTCAATTTAATCTTTACTTGTCTTTTGTATGTTTCATGATATAGTTTGGTGCAAGGATTCCCAGGAATATATGATATATGGGCATCTTCTTATTTGTATTGGGTAAAAATTATTGTATGCATACCTTGTTCAATGTTTGAGCCTCTGCTCGAATGGGGTTCTTTCCTTGTTGAAACTAGGTGGTATTAAGTATAAAAACTAGATGGTGGCATCAACTGCCATAAAAAATCATCAATCCAGGGCAGCTACTATAATTTTAGGTTATGTTTATATCAGTTCTTTTTTGTCATTGTGAGTTTGTAGAAATTATGTTCAAAGAAAATAAATTGGTAGAAATTTGAAAGCAACTTCAAATTTTGAAAACCAATAGTCATCTTCCTATAAGATGACCTAATCTTCGACCAGAAAAACATTTTATGTCAACCAATTTTACTATGCGCCCCATATATGTTAAATGGCCAAAACATTTTCCATGATAGAAGACGAGCTTTAGTAACAAAGGATAAGTAATGGGCAAAGCAGGCACATGGCTGTGTTTATTCTCTTAGTTTTTGTTCTAGTACCATAGCATCTCATCAATTTTACATATTTGATTATGTGAACTATCAGAGTCCATCAATTGTATTTATGATTTTAGCTTGAATATGTTTCTTCTTCTTGTTGTTTCTTCTATCCTTTTCTTCACAGCTTGCATTTTCATCCACTCCTCTTTTTGAGCCATTTGCCATGCCATTGCTTCTGGAGAAACTTTCTTCCTCCCTACCATCTGCAAAGGTCAGCTCTATCTTTGTCAAGTTCTAGCTCTCAGTACAATGAACATCGCTTTGCTCATATGCCATAGGAATTTGCCTTTGTAGTGTTAAGTAAGTTGATTGGTGAATCTGTGGTTTCCCAGGTTGATTCTTTGAAGTATCTTAGCTACTGCACATTGAAGTTTGGAGCAGACAGAATGTCAAAACATGCACGAGCTCTTTGGTCCTCCCTGAAAGATGCAATATACATTTCAGGAGAAGAGCCTATGCAATCCTCTAATTCAGAATCACTAGAGGATTCAGATTTTAAGAAGAATGAAATAGCAGAAGAAGCTCTAGGACTACTGGAAAAGCTTATCATCCAAAATAATGATCTGTTCCTGAGTATGATTACTGATGATGAAGAGATAAACCTTATTTTCAACAACATTACTAGTTACCAGAGTTACAATGAAATTCCGATGCAAAGCAAGCAGAAACTTCACATGGTTGGTCGTATCCTTTATGTCTCTGCAAAAGCTTCTGTTTCCTCCTGCAACAGGGTATTTGAAAGTTTCTTGCGCCCCCTGATGGAGGCTCTGGGGCCTTCCGTTGAAAAGGCATCTGGGGCCTCCCATGGCAATTGTGGAAACTCCAAAAATAATTATGGATCTCTTTATCTTTGCATTCAAATTCTTGGAGCATGTAGAGATTTTATCACAAGTTCTGATAATCTCACATCACAATTTCTATCTGCAAATGAGACATGGTGCCGTTTACTTCGGTGCTTTTCTACCTCTTTAACCACGGTCTTTAGTTCTACTTTGGCAACATGTACTAATGGACCTGATCATAATGCAGATATGTATCTTGGAGGTAATTACTTTCACAAATACAAAAATTTGGACACTGAATTCTTCCCTGCACCTTTAGTTTGCAGTGTTGTAGGGATACTTTTATGTGTTGGAACACAAACACATGTTTCCTGCATTTATTCATTTGAACTTGCTGTGCACTTTTTTGGTCAGGCAATAAGCATTTGGAATGTGGATATGTATGTTGTATGCACACTAAATTATTGCATTTTTGATGATTTATCCCTCAATAAACTTGCTTATTGATAACTAAGGAAGAAATGTGAGTTCAAGTAGCTTGGAATGTCTAAACGATGTTTTTGGTTCATAAATGTCCTAAATGGGACAGTTGCTAATCTTTTCGGGGTTTTAATACCATTGTCTTTACCTACAGCAAAGTGTTCATTGCATTTATTGTCAATTCTAAACTCTTTTTAGTGAGCTTTCATCAGATGTCAAGAAAAATGAGGCAAAGGAACGAAATATTATGGGTCACTGAACAAGGGAATATAATTCCTTAAGCTAGATTACAATGAATTTTTCTGCCCCTAGTTGTTTTTGGCATTCAGATTCATAAAGAAACACTGTACATTTCAGTGCTTTTCTGTGCAGTGCAGCTGCATATGTTCTGGCTTTTTCAAATTAATGGTTTGGCAGGTAGCTGCCAACAATTGCACCAATTTTTTGAAGAGAGAATGTCCCATTAGTATCTGTACTTGGCAAAAGTTCCCCCAGTTTGAGCATTTAATTGTTCTTACATGATGTAAGTCTGGACATGCTGCTATTGCTGGATGTAAGATGAACTACTAAGAGTGGAATAAAATCTCCGCTAAATGTGCAAAAGGGGTCTTTAGGATTCTGCATAAATATATATTTTTTTCATTCTTTCTTTTATTAATTTTTCTTTTAACAATTAGCCAAGTTTTTGATTATAATGAAATAAAACATCAGAATTAGATTATATTGCTTTTAATATTTGATTGATATGCAGTGAAGGGTTTGCAGATTCTGGCAACATTTCCTGGAGGCCATTTGCTAATATCAAAGTCGACATTCGACAATATCTTGATGACATTCATATCAATTATTACTGTGGATTTCGACAAGACATTGTTGTGGAAACAGGTGATGAAGGCACTGGTGTACATTGGCTCATTTATTCACGAACGCAATGAAGCTGAAAAATCAGTGAGCTATATGGATATCATTGTTGACAAGATCATTTTGTTGGCATTCTCTGCTGATTTTAGTGTGCCATGGCCACTCAAACTGACAGCTATCTCTAGCATTGGCACAAGTGGGCAGAAATATATGCTGAAAATTGTTCAAGGGCTGGAGAAAGCTATTCATGCCAATCTAGCTGAGTTTTATGTATGTATGGTCAATGATGTCTCAACTTTCTAACTGTTAGTCTGGTTGGGTAAACTATTATATTATAAGAGCTCATGGGTTCTTTTTCTTCTGGCTTTAGTTGCTTTCCCCCCTCAGACTAATTTTTATTATATAATTCCTTGTTTTGTTTGCATAGGTCCAAGGAAATCTAGAATCAGGAAAGATCATAATTCAGCTTTTGGAATGTGGCTCTAACGAGTTGCTCCCATGGTATCCAACTACCTCAAATGTTCCTATTTTATTATCTGCTTGGGTATCTAGTTTGAGTTATAAAATGTTCCAATCCTTCCTAGTTATCTTTGTTGCTGTGCACCTTGGTCTCTGCTATATATGGTCCATTAGCTTCCAACATCCACATTGTACATCTGTCAAATTTACAAGTAGAAGAAAAAAAATCGTGTGATTCTAAGCATTTTTACATATGCAATTTTGTTTCAACTTAATTTTTTGAAGGCTTTCGATTTTGGGAATCAAAGGTATAAGGCCCTCCATCCATATTAAAGATGATTGTATATCATTTGATATTGTTTTTTATCTGTGTTCTTCGTTCTCTAATTAAAATACCATATCTTTTCTTCTTCTTCTTATTCTTCTTCTTGTTTAACATAATAATCTGGTTTGGACTCTGTCTCTGAAAATTGCCTCTACTTTCCATTTTTTTCCAGCACTGATACATTATTTAGACAATCTACAGGAGAATGAAGTGTCTTGTTTTTTAAGAGCCAAAACTTATAAATTTCCATAATCAGGAACTTTGCTTTCTCTTCTATCTTTCTCTGTGGAGGTAATGGGCAGTCGGGGGATGTGTTGAGGAATATTGGATATGGGGGATGATTTAGCATAATTATATCTTGTTAATATAGAATTTTATTGGAATGGATCAGGATACAGAATAATGAAGGATTTGAGGAAGTTCTTTTGCAATTTGTAGTCAACATATGGAACCAAATTGAAAATTGCATGGCTTTTAGCATTGGGGTCCATGAACAAGTAAGTAATACTGCTGCTATTTTTATTAGTCTGTATTTTCTATTAATTTCCATTTTGATAATTAGTGGTAAGGGAAAATCTCTTTCAGTTTATTTGTGTATTGTAGACTTGTGCTGGAGAAAAAAATACTCTTACTAGTTTAAGAAAAATTCTTTACTCAGAGAAGAAGCATTGTAACAACTACTTATATATTACATTACCACCAGGAGCCTCTCAATGCAATGATGAAGGTTATGAAACTTCTTGTTGCATGCTGTTCAGTGGAAAGTCAAAACATAATAATTTACAAAGCTTATAGTGTGCTGTCATCGAGCTCCACTCTACCACTTAAAGAATCCCTGTCGGAAGTTTCAGTCCTGCTGGAAAGCGAAATGAGCAGATTTTCCACTAGAGATGAATGGGTTCATTCTTTATTTGCATCGGTGATTATAGCGTTGCGTCCTCAAACACACATTCCAAATACAAGAACAGTATTACATTTATTCACAACTGCTCTCCTTAAGGGCTATGTTACTGCAGCTCAAGCATTAGGTTCTCTAATTAACAAAATGGATCTGAAAACCAATACAAGTATTTCAGGTGATTGTACCTTTGAAGAAGCAATGGATATAATTTTTAGAACAAATTTGTTGAGTCTTACCAGTAATGGTTCTTTTGGGAGATATAGTAGAATAAGCAATGGGAATGAGATGCATTTCACTAATTTAAGCCTTGGTGCTGCAAACAGTGGATTGCTTCAAATCCATTTCCTTAATGGACTAGCATGGATTGGGAAAGGTTTGCTTATGCGAGGTCATGAAAAGGTCATAGACATAGTTATGGTTTTCCTAGAGTGCTTACTGTCAGATGATAATATTGGTGATTCGCCATTGAACAATTGCAAGAAAGAGGTGGATCTCTCTGAGATGAAATCTGCAGCTGATGCATTTCAAATTCTCATGAGTGATTCTGAACTTTGTCTGAACCGCAAATTTCATGCAATAATAAAACCTCTTTATAAGCAACGGTTTTTCTCTAGTGTGATGCCTATCCTGCAGTCTTTGATAACTAAAGCTGATTCCTCAGTCTCAAGGTAGGTGCTCTTTCTTGAACTCATTGATTGCTTGTTCAGCTTACTATTCGTCCTTTAGCAGTGATACTGTTGATTGCATGAGTACTGATTTGCAAGACAGTTAAAGATACCGTCATTGCCTTATTTCATTGGATAATAGTGATCATTTCCAGACAAACTAAAAGCAGGCTCCATTGTTTAAATAATCTCTACCATTTTGTCTGATTGTCCATCTTTCATGTCCTATCACTTGGGGGCTGTAGTTCTATATTTTTTCTGAGTTTCGAATATCTGCTGGATCTGTATACTGCATGTCAAAAGGATCTGCATGACTTGCTTATTTAAATGTCAACTTTATATTTAATTACATGCTAAATTTTTTAAGTTGCTTCTAATGAATACAATTTGTCAGATTCTACTGACATGATGCCCATATCTTGCATCACAGCTAGTACTTTTATCATCAATGTTTCATAGTTTATTCATCTTTACCTATTCCTGGCATCTTTTAGGAACATGAAAAATCTACTTGTCCTTGTACATTGAAGAACCATCTAATGACCACATTAATCTTGAAATTTTAGGTCTTTCAGTGTTCCATGATCAATAACATGATGTGCTGGATTTCAGGTCTATGCTGTATCGAGCTTTTGCACATGTCATGTCTGAGACTCCACTGATTGTTATCTTGAATGATGCAAAGAAGGTTTATTTTGATATGCCCTAGAACTTCCAGTTCATTATTTTCAAATCAAGGAAGCATTTACTAATTGCAGTTAGGTTCTTTTTCTTCAGTTAATTCCAGTGTTGTTGGATGGATTAACCCTGTTATGCAAGTATGTTTTGGATAAAGATATCATGTACAGTCTGTTGTTGGTCTTATCAGGAACATTGACAGATAAAAAGGGTAAGGCTACTTTTTATCTCTATGAACTTGTGTTTAATTTAAATTTAAGTGAAGTTTTTGCTTTTTTTTCCCCTATTAGAGATGGTTTGGTTATGTCTGACATAGACCCTCTTGTTTGTAAGTGTGATACATTGGTGGTGGAGGATGCTAAACAGGAAAGAGCTAGACCTAACACTACATGGAGGAAAGTTGTTGCAAAAGATCTATGGTCTCTTGATATTAATGTGGATTTAGTTAGGAAAAGAGTAGAATAGAGACGAGGTTCGTATAGCCAAAACCCAAATAGTTTGGGATTAATGCTTCGTTGTTGTTGTAGAGATGAGAAGGTGAAAATCCTGAGCCGGACTAGATGCGGTAAATGGAAGAAAGAATATTTGAAATCAAATGTTTTGCTAAAAATCCCGAGCAGGGGATTTATGAAGTGCTGGGGGCCAGTATTGATCTTAATCCTTCGTAAAATCCTTGTACAGTAATATTGTGCATTCACTTTATTCCTCTGTATTGATTAGCCTTACCTAGAACTTCTAGATCTTGAGGCATGCTTTTCTATAATTATTTTTACCATCTGGAATTCTGGATATTAATCACTAGGTATTCAGTTTTTTCGAAGCACATTTACTAAGGCCCGTAGTTGTTAAACCTTCTTAGTCCTTCAGAAGCCTTCTTTCTAGTTATTATGCAGTATCTTTTGCTCCTGCTGATTGCTGTTATCTTCTGTAATAACTGCCTTATTCGCTGTCAGAATATGTTCTACAAATAACTTCCATTTACATTTAATGATGCGTCTCTTATCTGGTTGTGCATGCAGGTCAAGAGGCTGTCATAGAGAATGCCCATATTATCATTAAATGCCTAATTGAACTTGTTGCCTACCCTCATATGATGGTAATAACTCTCTCATTCTATTAAAAATTTATATTTTCTTCTGACGTGGACCCTCAATATGAATTAGGATTTTAAAAATTTAAAGCTAGTTCACATCTTGGTCATCCTAGTTTGTCTTTCACTGTAACTATTGTTTCACTCTACTTTCATTGCAGCTTTGGAATTTTACTTGATACATTATTTGGTTTAAATAGACAGATTTTTGACTTCTAACTTCTGCCAGACATTTTTTTCCCACCCATCTGTCCATTCGTTCATCCAATGTTTAGCTATGACCCTACATAATTCAAGTTTTCTATTTTTCCTTAGCTTGTTCGGGAGACAGCAATTCAATGTCTTGTTGCCATGTCAGAGCTGCATTACACAAGGATTTACCCTGTGAGAAACCAGGTTAGTTGAACCAAGTTGTTGGTAAAGGCTTCAAGAGGTGTATTTGTAATCTGGAACTGCCGACAGGGACAAACTCCCAAGCTTCTGGCTTGTATGCTGAGGCCAATAGGCTGCCAGGAGGAGCAGTCACGAATAGTTTTTACAACAGCCTCATTGCAATATATGAATTTTCAAGGCTTTTTGCTTGACTTGCTGATGCAATCTTTTTCTACTTTCATAAATAGTTGTGTTACTGAAATGTATTTAATTTCAGGTGTTGCAGGCAATGTCAAAAGCACTTGATGATCGAAAGAGAGCTGTTCGTCAAGAAGCTGTTAGGTGCCGGCAATCATGGTCAGTGCTTTAGTTCAGTATTCCTTTAAATTGAAATGATATACCGACATATTCCAAGTCATTGATTTCTATTGATTGTCAAAATAGGGCATCAATTGCATGAAGAAGTCTTCATTTTTGAAGAATGTGAGCATTCTTCTCTGGCCAGCTCTGAATCTGGTGACATGATTTTTCTTCACCGTGTCTCCACAGTAAATATTTTATATTTTATACGTATGCAGTAAAGACAGTAGTCTTCTTAGAAAGTCATCAATTTTTTTGGTCTTTTGTTTGATGCACTGAAAGCCAACTTCTCTCTAGTACAAAATCAAGTAAAGTTGATATCTTGGACAACGAAGATGTTCATTAATTGTGTTGGATTTCACTGTTTGCATGAGAAATTTGGCATGACAGAACATCTGAGAAATCTGGTTAATCTGACTTTGGAAAATTCTAATTTAAATATAAATATAGATTTCACTTTTACCAAAAATATATCTGAGCTCCATTAGCTGATTCTGTCAAACTTTTCAAAAAGATTTCAGCATGTAGAATTTACATGCAAATGAAAAAAGAAAAAACTTCTAATTGCACCATATTTTTTCTTTTTCTACGATTATAATTCAGTTTGACAGCTTTATTATAATTGTACGTTGCGATCGAAACGGAAGAAAAGAATATCATGTATTATTTTAAAAATAAAATTAATTAATATCTATTTCTTTTTTCGAATTTCTCTTTTTTATGGGGTTTACCCATTCAAATGAACTCCAAAAACCCCATTACACGTTCCATTTGCCATTGCCGATAAAAATCATTGTAATAAAGTGCAATTGAAACAAGTCCCCAGGTTTGACGTAGGAAAAAAAAAGGGAAAACATATAATGGATGACAATATGCTCCAGTCAAAAATCATAAGAAAAACTATTGAAAATACACACACATACGGGGGTGAGGACAAAAAAAAACAAAAAACTACTTTTGCTGTTCCATAAATTAAATCACCATTCTGTGATGTCCAACCTTTTTTACACCTTTCTTTTTTTCACCTTTTATGAGGTAAGGGGAAAAAAAATCTAACATCTACTAAAACCTGCTACAACCTGAAAAGTAAAAAAAAAAAAAAAAATAAGAAAAACCTATTGAAAATAACACACACATACGGGGGTGAGGACCAAAAAACAAAAAACTACTTTTGCTGTCCATAAATAAATCAACCATTCTGTGAATGTCCACCTTTTTACACCTTGTCTTTTTTCACCCTTTATGAGGTAAGGGGAAAAAAATCTAACATCTACTAAACCTGCTACAACCTTGAAAGTAAAAAAAAAAAGAAAAAAAACATTGTATATTTCTGAATGAAAAAAAAAAAAAAAAAACATGTATATTTCGAATGGTTGGCTTGTACATGGGATAATATTTCTGCACCATCTATAAAATAAAAGTTCGGAAACTTTCTTCTGGTTGCAGCATTTGCATTAGGACCAATCATTCAGACAAGTCATCTTCTGCTTCACTATAATGGTCCATATCCTGGTCTCGAGCAACCCTATGCAGCCTTCCAAGGCCATCATCATCATCAGAGGCTCCATTCCTTGAATTCAGGGTATTAACCCTTGAATTTGGATTAACCTGAAAGCAACCAAGTCAAAAGCATTCAGGTAAATTAGAGATCGAATATCCAATGAGCATAAACTAATGATAACAACTTCATACCCCCATATCTCTGATTTCTATTGCAGCAGCAGTTGCCCTCCGCCTCACTGTCACTCTTGCTGGCACTGGAAAATGCTCAACTTCGTCTCCAGATCTTCCCTCAGCCCGCTTCTTTCTTAAATTGATCTTTGTGGGAAGAGGCTGCAGCATGATGTGTAGGATATGAAATGAGGAAGTCACACTGCTTATCAAACTTGAAGTGCACAAAAAATAAAAACAGAGTAGCGAAAAAATCCAGAACAAGTTCATACCACATAGCGAGCTGCTTCATCATCAAATGAAACAAGGAATGACGTCGGGTCATTAGCATCATCACCACGTACCTGTTTGAGGTGTTGAGAAGAAAATGCTCAGTAAGCAGTCGAATGTGATTTTCTAGACCAGAAAAGGAAAAGAAAAGATGAGGCACTTACATCCCAGTGGTACTCCCGAACCCAGTTATACGAGAGATCCTCACTTTCATCATACATATCCTTTGATAGCTGCCATAATAAGATAACAAATATGTAAACCAGTGATAAATATCTAACTAAAAGAAATAAAGTTTCAAAAGTTGTATCATATTCCAAATGTTTAGATTAAATGCATCTACCTCATTAGGAGAAGGGACCATGTATGCTAAAAATTTTTCAGATTTGGCCGGATCTGAGCCTGTTGCCACACAAGCTTTCATAACAGCCTGGAACAAAATATAAAAAATAAAAAGGGTAAAACATAATTTATCAGCAGTGAAATAAGCAATATTTTGCTCTGAAAATAACTTTAAACTTTCAGTGACATACAGTCACAGATTATATGTTTTATGAACAGCAATGATGCGAGAGTAAATTTTATTATCTGATTATGGCACATTTAATCTCATGGACCCATAGAATCAAGGGTCTTATATTGGTGAAATGAATCACATTCTAACACTCCACTTCTCAATTAGTGCTCCAATTTGTTCCATAAGTGAGTGGTGAACCTAGTCATCTTTATTACACTGCATGTTAGATTTGACTTATTTTGCTGCTCATGTTCAGTACACCTACTTACCTTTGATTCACAGGCATCACGAACAGATTGATCCAACTTACTATAAGTCTCTGAGTCAGCAGTAGGAGAATTATCAAATGTCACCATCACAAATTTATCTCCTTGCCTGCAAAAATAGCACCACAAACATCCAGTCAAAGTTCAACAGGAAGTTTCTGGGATGCAGCACAATCTACCATTAATAATTTTATAATTGAACAGGCCCCTGCCTCTGGTTGATGCAGGAACTCTTAAAATTGCATTCCAAAAATGCCATGAATAATTATATAAAGAAAAACATCATAAATTTCTTATAATATATTTTGGATGCACAATAAACAGGGCTGCAACTCCAGTGTATGTGATGATGGTCAAAAGCCCAGCTGCAAATAGAAGCTAGTTTTGTTAAAAGCAAAAGACTAGAAATTGTTCATTGTAATTAGGAAACAGATAAAAGATAAATTCTCAGATAGCCTAAAATATTATTCTATCATATTCAGAAACTTTTTGGTGCGTTAGAATATTAATCAAGTTTATTTGGAAGGAACATGCTACAAGGAAATGATTTAATTCCACTGAAGCACATTATAGAAAGCATCTGCCCCATACCGATCAAAATCAGGTAGCAATGGTAGAATCTCAACAGGCTTTAGCTTTTTATTGGTCGCATGGACAGGGGGTAACTTGCTGGCCTCAAATGATGCTTCAATTGCCTTGATTTGACTCTCCCTGAAAATAGCAGATATTCTCAGAATATAAAACAAAAAAAGGTTATGGTCATTATTTTTCTATTTTACAGTTTTTTTTCCAGAGGCAATTGAAATAGCACAAACCTATTATTAAGGTTCTCCAAAAGGTTACGGCCTACTTTCATTTCTCGCTTTTCTTTTGCTTGTTTTTCAGTAAGAGACTGCAAAATGCAAATGCATTTGATTAGAATACAGCTGCCAGCAAGCTGCCAAGTAAGTGACAGTAATGTAAGAAAAACCTACCTGTTTGGCCGAGTCCATGCTTAGAGAAGAAATGTATTGTGTTTTGACCAGCCAAGAAACACCTTTATCAGTGGGCCGTTCCTTTCTTTTGATGCCATCTCTTTTCACAGGGGTAACAGATTCATCGTCACGCAATAATTCCTCATCTTCTGGAGCAAGAGATGGTCTACCACTAGGACGACTAAAAAGATAAAAACATAATTAGGGCTATGTTGCTGCGTATAAAGTTTAAACTAATAAGACCTCTAAAGGGGAAAAGAAGAAAACAAAACAGGAAAAATAAAGATACAAATGGACATACTTGTAGACACTGAGATCAAGCAGGTCAAGAGGTATCCCAAGATCTGGCTCCACAAATAATTGGGGTTTATACATTTTCTCCAATGATGTTATTGTGTATTTTGTAAATCTGCAAATAGAAATATTGAGAATAGTCAGAAGAGTTTTCTAATGGAAGTAGAGCATTACATCTGAGAGTATCAAGAGAACATGGACAATAGAAATCATCATTTGAATAACTTCAATTCAAAAGCTCACAGAATAAGTGTCAACAAAAGTCAAATTTAGATGCCTGTGTAAGCTACAATAGAAGCTATTTAAACATTAAAAAGATAATAAAAATTAACTCCTAACACATCAAAAGCTAGAGTATCTATACTTGCTTCCACATCATCTACAGTTCAGAATTCCCAAATGAAGAGGCCATAAATTATTCATGGCACTGCTTCTTCAATTTGAGTTGCTTGTCTCCAATGTGGTCCTATATTTCACAAGCTTCTCCATAATTTTTTAATGGAATTGAAACAAGAATACCTAGTATTATGAGAGATCAGCTTGTTTCACGTCTTTCCTAATTCCAATTGGATGACCACTGGTGTCCCACCAATTTTTTCCGTTCCCAAAAATCTATTGTACAAGTCTCACCAATTTGACAGTTGATTTTCACACATTACCATCTCTTCTTAGTTCCTATTCATTAAGCTTCTTCACACTCAAAATCTAGCACAGAAAAATGCAGGAAGAAAAAGTTTTCATAATATTGTATGACTAATAAATACAGTAGCTATCGTCCCCTTACTCATGTCTCATTTAAAGTAGTTGTGCTATCTTCGACTTCATTCTTTACACCAATTCAAATGAGAATTGTTTTACAGAGGGTTGTAAGAAGACTATATCAATCTATTGTTGTGGTTCATTTGCTTTTAGACCATTATTACTCACTTGATATTGATCAATTCACTTTAGAATATAACCAAACAGTAAATTTATTTTCATTGAATTCATTGCAGTATTTTATTCTTCAATAAAGTTTCTGTTCCGTATCTTTTAACATGTTGCTGTAGATATAAGTGCCTAAAATCAATTTAGTTGAAAGGTAATCTGAAACTGGTTTATCTATTGCTAACAAACATGCACTGGTTGAAAGCATAAAATAAACCACATACTGCATTTACATACCGATCTTTATCTCTCTTCAAAGTCATAAGCTTTGGTTGAGCACTTGGATCAGGAAGTTCATTACGGAATCTTTGAGGTACAAGAGTAAAAATAGTGTCAGCATTGATATTAGGCGAGCAAAGCATTTATTCTAACATATGCAAGAATGCCATTTCAAACCAAAATATGACTCGCATGCTAAAAGATCACATTGGCAGAATTATAGTAAAATAGGAAAAGAAAATCAAAATTAGGCACAAGATTTATAATCAAGGAGTTTTACTTTCAAGGATGATCATACATTCAGAGGAGTATCCCACATTTATAAATTCAACCTGCAAAATTCTGACTGCCCATTTACACACAAAAAATTTTACAGTTTTTATCAGGTAATCCATAGTCATAGCATATAAATAACAGCTTCACATCATTCCAGAAGAACAAAAAATCAATTCAATATAAACGGAATTCTTAGTTCCCTAAGCTACCTTGACATACTAGTCTAAGCCCTGAAAATAACTAATTTCAAGAAACTCAATAAAATAATGAAACTTTCATGCATTTAGACCAAAGTCACCTACAGCCACCACAACCAAACTATCATTAGAGGTCTACATAAGTTAAAGTAGTGGAAAGAGTGGTTGGAAAACTATTGTTCAGTTTCTATTGAATCAATAATAACATGATTTGAAACTAACTCACGAAAGCTGGCTACTAAATATTAAAAGCCATATTTTAAGTTTATTTGCATGTTGCTTAAAGTAAGTGAACTAGTGTCAAAGCTTATGCAATGTCAAAAGACTCACTTCAATTTGCATAAGAACGTCGTTGGTTTCTTCAACCTATTTTCAATCCTTTCCCCACCCAATAATGGAGTGGCTCTCCTATCCCCCATTCTTGACCCAACAATGGAACCATGCCCCTTCTGAGAAGATAACATCTGGGTTTTTTGCAGAATAGTGTTCTGAGATTCTTTCAGCTGCTGTCTATGCTTCTCGTCTTGCCTTTGCTTCTCATACTCCCTCTTTTTCCTTAACCTCCTTTCCTCCTCTGTCTCCACCCTCCCTGACGGCCCATTCACCTTCTTGCCTCCAGGTGGAACTGGCAGCTTCTGTTGCTTTTGTTTAGCTAAATCACTATGATTGGAATGCCCATGTTCTCTCCTTTCCTTAGACACCATTCTATCCCTATCTAATCCACTGTCCTTTGGAGGAGGCGGGGGTGGGGAAGTGGGGGGTGGTGGGGGAGGTACTGAGGAACTAGGAGGAGAAGATGGAGGCGGGGGTGGTGGTGGCTGCATTGGCTGCTGCAATGTCTGATGGCCATACTGAGAATATTGTGAAGGCGGGTAGTACATAGAAGGAGGCGGTTGCTGTTGTTGTGCTGGTGCAGGTGGTGGAGGTGGAGGAGGGTAGGATGATTCTGGTGGCGGTGGAGGAGGGGCCGGCTGATAAGGATATTGTTGGTGAGGTGGTGGTGGTGGCGGTGGTTGTGGAGCACGCGGAGGAGGGTAATGTTGTGAGAAATTCTGCTGGGGGTAGTTTTGCGGGAATGTAGAAGAAGAAGCTGCTGCTGGAGGTGGTGCTGTAGCTGGTTGGGCCATTTGGTTGTAGTTTTGAGTGTACTGATTAGGTGGCCTCTGCTGTTGCTGCTGTGGTGGTTGTGTTGGAGGTGTTGGGAATGTGGATTGTGGAGGAAAAGGCCTGTAGGAAGCCATTATTAATCCCTAAACAACAAAAATAAAAATCTAGCCTTTGATCCTTATATAGACAGGCATTCACTCGCTACCCAATTCTTATTTGCAAGAACCACAAAACTAAATTCCCAATTCAATTGGGATTCTTTATCCTTGCTCTTTAATAAATCAATCAAAGAAATCCAATTACAAAGTTTTTCTATAACCAAGACTGAGTTACCATTCGCCAACTATTAGCTCCTCTAGCATATACCATACCAAATGCACTTAAAAACAACACCTCAAAATTCAACCGCGGAATCTCAACCACAACCTACTGAAACCCTAAGACTGAGAAAACCTCAATTGAATCACAGAGACTGTAGCTTTGGAAACGATACCCTAGGTTTAAGCTTACGAGAGATTTAATTTCAGGAATCTAATTGTACTCACTGCATGTGTATATGCACAAAAAAAGTAATACAGAGAAGGAAGAAGAGCTAATCAGACAAAGAGACGGTTGTTTATGTGTGCTTTACTCCAGTCGTAAACCGTAAAATACCTGGGGACGGGCTTTTTTTTAACTTATCGGCCAATTTCGGCCGAAAACAAGTTCTTTTTGCTGTTTTTGCATACATTTACAGATTTTCGGCAACTTGATTTAAAAATTTTTTTTATAACATCTAAGGCTAAAAGTCTTTATTTATTTATTTATTTATTTTTAGAAATGGGTAAAAGGCTAAAAATATAAAATGGATACAAATTTATTTGATATGAATATACAAAATTACATTTAGTCTTGTTAGTATTGATATGGATACAACTTTTCTATGAAGTTTGCAAATCCTATTAATATTGATATAATTTTTTTTAAGTATATTTAGTTTAATTTTAAATGAATTCCCATTTTATATCATACATGTACAAAAGTTATAAATCTTAAAAATTTCATATTTCGGCCTTTTCCAATAAGAATATAAAGATTTTTTTTTGTAAATACTCGTATAATATATCTATTATAAGTTTACTCTTAATCGATTTCTTAATCAATTAATAAAAATAAATTTTTTATTTAGAACTGAATGCTAGAATTTCAATATCACAAATTATTTTCCTCATTATTAAAAATTATTTATAAATTGGAAAATAAAATTTAAAGAATAAGTATAAACATTTGGTTCATCTGATAACCTAACAACTAGGTTTATAAGTTGTATTTAAACTTTTTAATGAGCAGTTAATAGCTAATAAAAATCTCAATTACTTTATAATTTGATCGTTTTGGAGTTTTTCCATATCGCCAACTAATTCATAATTATATGATATTAAAACTTTATTAATTTTATAAAAAAAATTTAGTAATAAAACTATTTTTAAAAAAATTAATATTTTTTATGATCATTCTATTTTTAATTATTTAAAAATAATAATTTTAAAAAATTTTTAAAATTAATTAATGAAACGACACGAAAATTTAATTTCGTAGAATTTTCATTTAAAAACTAAATTTTTATTCCAACCAATGAGATTATACCAGCTAGTATTTTATTATTACTAAACTGGACCCGTAAACCAATTCGATTTTTCAAAAACCAAGCGAAAAACTCGAAAACTGATACGACACTCGAAAATTTAATTTTCGGTAGAGACTCTCTTCATTTCTTAAAACTAAATTCTTATTATGCCACCACCATTGGAGGATTCGTCTATCCTCAGCTTCAGTATCATACTTATATACTTGAACTAGAGGCCCCGTAGAACACAATTTCCGCCATCTTTTTCTCAAAAAACCAAGCCGAAAAACTCGGAATAACCAGCAACATTGGCCAAAATCATTAGAATTAGACAAATCGGTTCTGAATCGACACCTCGAGCATGTTAGCAAGCCACCACTTTTTTTTTTTTTTTGTTTTCTTTTCTTTTTTTCTTTCTTCTTTTTTTTTTCTTTTTCCTTATTCCGTTCTCTTTTTCCCCTGCTGTCTTCCTTGCGTCCTAGCGCCTCGCAAAGCGACTTACGCACTCTCTTCACTTCTGACTCCTCCTCTTTCCTGACACCGCTACAGGCCCGCCTGCCCCATCCTCGCCACTCTCGCCCTCTCGCCCCGCCCGGATCTTACGGCTTCTTCCCTCCCCTCTATTTCTTTCTGGCTTACACGCACACAGGCGCAGAGCGTGAGTCGCGAACCTCTCCCTTCGATTCGGGAATCGGTGTCGAGCCTTCCTGCCTCCCTTGACTTTCCAGCTACGCCGGCTTCTTTGCTCGTCGACGAGAAGTCCGGTACCTGTCTCCTCCTTCATCTCTCTCCATGTCAATCTGTTCTCGGCTGGCGATAAGTGAACCAAAAAAAAACAAAAAAAGAAAAAGAGTTTGCCCGATTTCGAAAGTACCTCGCTATTGCGTCTTCTGCCTCTCCTTGTTCGATTTTCGGCAGTCCCAGGCCCACCAGCTTAAGCCAGAACCAAGTCCTCCTCCGCTTTGTGTCATCTTTATTACCCACGTCCGACATGTTCCTTTCCTCCGGTCAGAAATATTTAGGCGTGACTCGGTCAGCGAAATCGGACTTTGTCATTGCAGCTTGTTTCGTGTTCACTTTTATCCTCAAAATATTTCAGTTTTTTTCGGGCATTTTCCCACAACTGAGGTAAGCAATTTCCAACCTCTTCTTTTAGTAAGTATGTTGTTTTCGATAATTTGATAGAAGGATTGAAGGACATAAAGCAAAGTTTATATGAAGGGATTTTTTATTTCTGTCTTTCTAATTCATACTACTATTTTATTACTGTAGAAATTTAATGTCTTATACTAAATTTGGCTATAAACTAACTAAATCGACGCCCATTATCAGTGACAAATTAGGAATTCACTTCCTAACGTAATCGTTTAAAAAATTACTCAGATGATTACTTAGTTTATGGAATCATGAATATCTGGAGTTGAAAAAACTAGTTGCCTAAGTAATCGTTGAACGAAATTTCTAGGAGAATCAGTATTGTTATGTCAATTGAAGCTATGAGTTGCCATCCCTCTATTAAGTAACGCGCTCTCAGATTATCGTGTTACTATTGCTCCTTCTCTCGCACTCTATCTCTAACTTGACTTGCACCTGAGACATGATGTGATGGATCTTGATGCGACTAACTTACCGAATTTTTTGCGAATGGCGATTTGTTTAGCCTGTACGTCTCGTCAGGGCTTTCTTTAGCAAACTCTGACAGCAGAAAAATTTTTTTTGATGTACATAGTCAACCAGGAAAGAAAGCACCCACGCCCATCTATATAGTATATGCAACCACTTATTGAAGTTATTCAGTATAATAGTCCGCTCGTAGGAAGAGTTTAACGTTGACGTTTAAACTCGTTCTAGCCCCCACCCCCCCCCCCCCCTGTATTCTTTGGAGGGTCACCAATTGAAAAACGATTGGTAATAGACTATTAACGGTGAAGTTAATTATGCAGACATGCTTGTATGTGTCTATTTACATTAGTGGTTATCCATATGATATTGTATAACATGATGTTATCTTAGGATAGATATTAAAGCTTGGTGGCAGTTTGTTTGGTGGTTAAAATGGCTCGATATTGTATATTTTAAAGCGTTGGAGGCTCGTTTATTCTCGACTTTGACTATGATTGCCGACGGCACCATGGGCGTTGTGTGTATTTTAATTATTATTCATTTTATTGTGATATATATTAAAACAGGTAGATATCCTTATTTCTTAGGATATTCTGTGGCGAAAATTTTGGACTAGATAACTGTTATGATGTTTAAGTATGACCTACAATTAATATTGTATATTTAGTTATGTCATATTTCCTATTAAACTATATTTTATAAATATTAATTAGTGTATCTGCCTCTTTATAACTTATTTAATTTTTCTTTTCTATTTATTTTTATCATATCTCGATATATTCTATTATTTTATTTTTTTTTTCTATTATTATATTCTATTTAATTGTTTGCTTTTATCTTATTATATTATTTTATTTATTATTAATCTTATTTTATTCATATTTATATTATATTTTATAGTTATTTTTTATTATTTTTTCTTTGTTATTGTATTTTTATTACTCATTTTTTTATTTGTTGTTATGTATTGTTAATGGCTATTTAGGTTTACTATAATTTAATTGCATTTGAGAATGATTTAATTATTTAATTGCATTTGAGAATGGTGTCTAATTTTGCATTGCATTAGATGTTCAACTGATCAATATGTCTGCAATTAATTGCAATGTTTGATTAATTGTGTTGTGATAATGCTATGCTTTGTTTGTGTTGAATTGGGATGAAGTGGACCACCATGGGTTTGTGAGGACGGTCTGTGATATGGATCCTAAATATGATATGATATTTGACCGTCGGCCAGGAAAATGGGAGATCGGCGCCCCTGTGTGCACCTGATGATATGGATTATATGGGAATTCACAGGATGGCTTCTTGTTGTTGCGCACCTGATAATCTAGATTTGATTGTAGCCCGCAGGGTGGCCTCCTGTGGTGAGCACTTGATGATCTAGATTGGATGGATTGGATGGAGAACCCCGGGTTGCCTCCTTTGGCTATAGAAAAGAAAAGACAGAGAATGAAACAACAATTGGAGGGAACTGGTCCAGGTGAGGATTTAGAAACCAAGTTGGCCGAGTAGTGGGGGATCGGCTCCCTGGTGCACATGTATGACTGAGGAGCCGAGCCATGTGTCGAGGACGGCATCGTGGACCGGTTCAGGTGGTAGCCACCTGACTATTTCCACGTATGTTGATTATATGAAGAATGTTTATGATTCGTGCAGTGGCCTATAGATATGCCATTTGATGTGACTGCATGCTCGAAGCATATAACATAGTCGGCATGACTAGATTGATATGTTTAACTATTTGCACCCATGTGACTGCGTGTGTTGTAAGCATAATTACTTACTCCTTTGAAAACTAGCATGTCTTCTGTTTTACAATTTTTTCAGGGAAGTAATGTTTCTTCATTTATTCAGTTAAGCTATGTTCACTTCTCGTACGCAGACCTAGAGAATAAAATTCTTACCCCCTCCCCCCCCACCACTAGGACAACTCAAAACAGGGCTAGAAGAAAATTTTCCAGTTCCATAATTATTTTACTATGTAATTATATGTATAAAAAGCTATGTATACCAAATAGTTAGTGACTCTGCAGTTGGAGAATTTACATACAATTAGTCGTATATTAACATAGACGATATAATTCCATGAGCCCATATTAAAAATGTGATGTATTGTTAATTGGGCCCAAACTATGGAATGTTGTAACTGATAATTTTGGGCCGAGATTTAATAAAATCTTGAGGTTTATTTTCCTATAAATATGGGTTGAATGTTTAAAATTATATTGAGATAGTAAATTTTTAATGTTTCATGCTTACTACGGGCCTCGGGGGCCTTAAGCTGGCTCGGTGTGGCCTTAAGCTTTACTGGGCCCTCAGTGCCGGTCCGGCCGCGAACGGGTCGTTGAATCAATTAATATGTGCAATTGATTATAATAATAATCTTAATACTAAAGATAATTTTACTTAATATATATATATATATATTATATTATATTATTATATATGATATCTATTGGTTATATATTGGTTATTTTATATTTTAACAGTGAATGCAACTAAAACTTACCAAAACATTAATGTTTATGAGCTAACGGCTACTAGTAACTAACCACCAATTATCAACTATCAACCGTTATGAACAGCTGAACTAAACAAGCTCTAAATATATATACAACATGATAATACACTTATTTTCAAATTTGTCTCATCCCAATATTACAAAGAAAAAAAAAACAAACAATTGTGTAATCAAATTGAAATATAAATATAGTAATGAATTGTGTCTCCTAAACTTTGGCAAGTTTTCTTAGTATTAATATTTTGTTCCACTTTAGATGTGGTCTTGATCTAAACAAATGATAACTGATGTAGTAATTAATATTTGTGTATCATAACTTTTGGCAAGTTTTCTTAATATTAACCTTACGTTCTATTTTAGATGGTATCTGTTAATAATTCTACATATTGACTAAATACTAAATTCATAAAGAGCACGTAGGAGTGACAAGTTAACTAGCTGACTAATTTGTTAGTTTTAACATTTTAGCACTGATTGGTTCAAGTTGAAGTCCAAGTAAACTCACATCACACATTTTTACATCATGGTTTATAACATCTTACCCAATTCGTCTTCACGTAAATATCGGTAGTATTTTAGAGTTTTTCTATCGACCACTAATTAGTTAAAACTCTATCGACCACTAATTAGTTTATATTTATATTACATTTGTACCGTATTAACTTTATAAACTAATTACTAATAAAATTATTTTATGTGATCATTTTTTTTTTTTTTTTTTTATTAACTTGTATATAACATAAATTACTAAATAAAATTATTTTATGTGATCATTTTTTTTTTTTTATTTTTGACAGGTGCAACAGCAATACGACCCGAGTCCAAAGTTACTTTGTCATGACGACATTAAAATACCAACAATGGAAATGTTTCATCGATATCAGATTTAACATTATTTTTGTTTACACTCTCTCAAGTTTTAACTTGGATTTTTTTTTTTTTTTTTGGTGAAAGGAAGTCCCAAAGTTATTTGTATGAAACATAAAATACCAACATGGATGATTTCATCGATCCAGATTTAATATATTTGTGTTACACTCTCAAGTTTTAACTTTGCAAGAAACCTATTATATACTAAGAAACATACGTATTAGTATGTTGTAACTGTTACGGCCCAACAAGAGTTACATAGTTATGGGCCTCCTGTATCTTTTAAACTATCGTTTCTTGAAGTTGGCCTGTACAGCGACATTCATATTCTAAACCAAGTCTTGGATTCGACTGCCAAGTACTAATAATGTTAACTGTCAATTTTTGTGCTAAGAGAAAGCACAGCAAAACCTTTAAAAACAATAGAATAAGGAACAAAACCTACACATCACTTCTCATTCATGCCTTCTTCATTTTTCAATACATAATGCATAGCTTATATATAAGTAAGAACGACATTACAGCCTTCTATGGACCCAATATAAAAACCCTTCCATGGCAGGGTGGATAGTGGGCCAAAACATTTCCAAATATATTCCAGCCATCCATTCCTTGTTCGTGCTACTGATTTCTTAATTAGGGCGACATGCAGTCACAGTAGGCCCAACTTGCCTTGCTAGCTGAACAATTGGAGAAAAAAAAAAAATTGTTCCTGTATCAGTACATATATTTTTGTGTCCAAATTCATAAAAACATAGCAAAAAGTGCATTCCAGTAATTGAAAATATGGAAGCAACCTGAAAATAGGCCTCAAGCTTCTTTTTCAGTGCTGCATATTCTCTCTTGAGTTGTTGGAATGTCTTAAAACATCTGCTTGTTTACAAGAAAAATCCATATATTAGAAATGTTTTTGTGGCATCTAATTATAAAGGAAATTTAGGAAAGTGGGTCCAAAAAAAATCTTGGCACTTCATTGGAGGAGATTTCAAGAAAGAAAGTGCAGAATGGATAATTACCCTTCTCTATTTCCTGCTCTGCAATATTCCCTAAAGAGAGTGCACTCAGCTTTCACCTTTTTGGCTCCAATGCTACACCCAATAGAAAAGAATAGAAATAAATGGATTGTTGGTGCTAAAGCCAACATAGAATATACTTAAGTATGCCTTTAATAAATCTAATTATAATAATTGTTTCTTATTATTATTATTTTTTTCCCCACCAAATTACCTTGAGCTACTTCCCTTGAATTGATGCATAAGGCTATCTAACTTGTTAAAATCCAGAGGCTTCCTCTCCCTGCATATATAGACACAAGAAAATTGCTACTATCAATTATTACTTGTACTTATGGGACCAGAAAAATAGAAAAAAGAGAAGAAAGAAAAAGAAAAACTGCTGAAAAGAAGATTTTCAACTTACAATGCTTGTTCTATGTTAAGGATTAGTCTAGCTGAGTCCCTATAGTACAATGTCACAACTTCTTCCACAAAATTAGGATTAGCATCATCTTGGAGTTCCTCAAGCTGGAGGAATTGTTCATCAAGTAATCCCTGAAAAGATTCAGCCGATTTCAGATTTCCATCACAAGCATAAAAATAACAATTGAACGAGAAAGCTAGTTGAATATAAAGAATCCCACAAAGCATACATGTAAATAAATTATCATTATGTTCTTTCAGTGCATAAATGCATTCTGTCAAAAGCGTGCTAGTCTTCACTGTACTCTTATGGCACATGGATAAATTTGATGACTTGAAGCACATGCGGATTACTGGGCAATAACAAGTAGGGTAAAGTTATACAAATTCACGTGACTCAAAAAAATCAACCTTTACTGTTAGCAGTATAGTTCAACAAATCTCTTACATACACATCAGATAAATAATATCCTTTCCAATGCATAATTTCTGAATAATTTAGAACAAACTTTCTTTAGAAAATTTTAGAGTCATAAAAGATACTTTGCAACCTATCAAACAAAGGAAAGGAGATCAAGAAATAAAATAAAATTAAAAATATTTGAGAAGCGAAGACCTGATCAAAAAGAGACTGCCTTGAGAGTGCAACCTGCCTATGCATCTGGTTTATTTGAGAAAAGGATATATTAGATAAAGCAAGCAGAAAGAGAGAGAGAGGAAATGAAAGAGAGAACACTTGTAAGGCTTGAATGATAATGCAATATGGCAAAGGGCTTTATATAGTAGAGAAGAGAGAGACAGTCTACCAACTTTCTACCTAGAAAGAGCAAGAACTTAGTAAGAGAGGGACGGAGGTTCCAAATGCATGAGGACAAGTGTATTGCTAAGGAGAAAAGGGAGATTTTAGTATCTAAGCAATATTAATTTGGGTAATGGGGGATTAATTGGCATTCTGATTCTATTGGAAAGTAAAAACATCAAAATATTTTATTATTTCTATCAAATCTTGAGCTAAGTTACATGCAAATTCCTACTGTACTAAACTTTTTAAAAATAATATGTCTCAGGGTGTTTTATGCTCTTTCAAAACTGGATATTTCTGTCAATAGTTCTAAATAAAAAACGGTGTCAATTACCACAGCCAATTACCTCGAGTGAATAATTTTTACCATATTCCAAATTTTTGCTGCTTCTTTTCCAAACACCTCAAAAAGTTGCTCCATATATGTAAATATTAACTGAGAAATTATGTATTGACATGTTATTTATCCATAAATTTTCACAAGCTTTTCTAACGTATCCAACGCACTTTGATGCCATCAATTCCACTTTAGAAAAATCACATATACAATTACAAGCCAATTGCTGCTATATGTCTTTCATGTGCGTGTACATATATTCTCCACATTTACTTTTTTATAAGCTTCCAATATATGTTTCCTAAATGTTACTATATCCAAATATAAGAGCCAATAACATCCCAAACTTAATTAAATTCTTGGTATATCTTATTCTGATTTTGTTTAAATATGCAGCTCAGATCAATTAACAAAACAACATGCTTTTTCTAAATTTTAATGGGCATCGCATGAGGCAAAGAATTTGTCCTAGGAGAGTTGAAAGCTAGCCAGCATATATATGTAACTAACCAAATCCAAGGATTTGAAATTACATTTCTATTATAATTTCAGGATTTTTTTTTTTTTTTTTATATGCAGCTCGCCAGATCAAATATAATAACATAACATTGTCTTTTTCTAAATTTTAATGGCATCGCATGAAAGAATTAGAATTTTGTAGGAGAGTTGAAAGCTACCACGACTATATATGTATACATAAACCAAATCCAAGCGATTGAAATACATCTTCTATTTATTAAATTTCTCAGGGATTTTTTTTTTTTTGCTTATCTACAGTTCGATGGTTGATGAGATTTTGATTCTCTAATTATATCACATTTCATTCCTGCGGCAATCTATCTCGCACCAACTATTGCTCCTAGCATATAATAAAAAGAACAGAATAACAAAAGACAAGAAAAATTTCAGGATTTTTTTTTTTTTTTTGCTTCTACAGTTCGATGGTTGATGAGATTTTGTTCTTAAATATATCATTTCTTCTGAGCAATCTATCCTCGACACTATTGGCTCCCATAGATTATTAAAACAAGAACAGAACAAAAGGACAAGGAAAAGAGGAGACAGACTGATTCTATGAAAAAGACTATGTACGGACAAGCTTTACACTTTCAGTTTCTAATCAACTTCGATTATCACATTCTACAAGAAGATATATAGTTTAATAATCCACTCTCTGTACCTAATATAAAGGGTTTTATTTTCGTCTTCTTTTGAAATTACAAGCACTGAAGAATCTTAATTACTATATGTCATCCCATTCAAAAACAAAATTACTAAATTTCATCTTGCATTGCTATTTTACTGCATAAATGAATTTATAGTATAATAAATCTTTTAAAATGATATAATTATTTGGTGAGAGGCAATAGATATTATAGAATAACAAGTTGATTTCGACAATAAAGAAATGGCAGAATTGGCTGTGACCATTTACAATCACAGCCTCATTCCCCATCGCAGATTTTCGAACAAAGAACAGCATCAAGAAAATGGGTCCCGAATGCTACCATTCAATTTTACCATGACAAAAAGACTATGATGTGAAATCGACAGTATTTCACGTCAAATACTTCGTAGAATAAAAGACTTTTTTCATGCTAAGAAAGTCAGCCCTTCCCCTTTCGCAATTTTAAGGGTCACGTGCCATTTTTATTAACTTCACCTAGGGGCACACATGTATTAAACTAACGTGTCCTTGTATTTTCAAGTGGCTCAAAGTATATATACATATATTTTTCTACGAGATACTATGGTATAAAGGAATTGTTAGAATGCTGCAATTTCAAGCAGATTTACAAACTCAATACTACACTAGTACATGCTATAAAACCCATATATTTACACAAGTGAATGCAGACCAAATGATCAAACGATCATAAAACAAGAAAGATGTGACATTTCTTTTGATAAATTAGCAGCAAATCTTATGTCATTTACTATATAATGCTTTTCAGTTAAGGAAGCAAGAAAATAAATTAAAAGATATACTTGGTACACTTAAAGTACTAATTAATTATAAGTGAAAAGCATAAGTATGATGCCTATACCCTTTCCTTCAGAATTAAAAAATGAATACAGTAACAATTGTGAATCACATCAAATCAAATCAACATGCTTGATTAGCTATAAAAGGAAAAGACAGGAAAAAGATGTAAAGAAACAACAGTATATGTCCCCTTGAGAAAACCACAAGCCATGCAAGTTAAACTCAATGGAGTTAAATATAGATTTAGAAAGGGTCTTCAAGCTAGTGCCTTACACTAATAATCAGTTGTTTGCACCCAGGTTAAAACTATTTATCTGGAAAAACATAATTTTAGATGTTACTACGAAAAAAATAGTGTAGGAGTGCTAAGCAGTTCTGAAACTTTGGAATTAGTACAAGCTAAAAGTTCTTTAATAGTAGCGTTCAGTTATTACCTCAGCTACTTTTAAATTGAAAGGTTATGGATAATAAATGCATATGTATTAGGCTAAATGGAATCTTGTTAGAAGGGTTTTCTCAAGGAAAAATAAAAAATTAAATGGAAGCAAAGATCCTGCCATAAGTAAGGTATAGTGGGTGGAGAATATTAATAAGAATACAAACACCAACAAAAGGAGAATCGTAAGTGACCAAAAGAGGCAAAAAATAATGAACATTTAAAATACAAGAATAGACAAATTCCCAATGATGATTGACATCAGAACTCACATTGCAGGCAGTAGTCATGTCTTTCTCTATTTCTACCTGCAAATTCAGCAAAGATGTTAAAAGGGGAAGAAGTGTTTAGGAAGAGATTCTCCCTTTATTCCTCTGCCACGGCCAAAGTGAGAGAAGAAGAGATGTTTTACAGTGCCACAACATATTTTCTTTTGCAAATGTGTGGTCACATCTGCCCCTTTAGTAAAAGAGTTAAAAAGCTGAGGGTATGGGTGGGTTGAGTGGGATCAGAATATGATTTTGTGTTATTTTTTGGCATATTTCGCGATTCTCTTTTCCTATCACTATCTCCTATGTTGATAAGAATCCCACCCTGGACAATGATCAATCCCAGCTAGCAGGACTGAGTTTGCTCCTGAATTTATTTATCAAATCATGAAAAAAAATTTGCATCAGCAGATCAGTTATGACATGTTAGTTTGGTTGTTGCTTTTCCCAGCCAAAAGAGTGCAAAAACAAGATTTCTACATGTTAGTTTGACATCTCAAATACTAGCTGATCGTGTGTCTAGTCAGGCAAGGGGATTTTATACGACATTAGAGAACTGATTACAATTGACACCAATAATTTTGTAATTAAGATTCAATAAGTGGAGTTATCATAAAACTAACAATGCTTCGAATTTAAAGCCCATCCAATTGGCAATCAGTTTCATATTGAGATAAAAGCTTAGTTGTGATATGATAAAAAGCCATAATAATTCTCAGATGAACAGTTTATAGCTCAATCATTCAGTACTTCATTATCTTGATGCCACGGTTGCCATTCTATTGATAGAACATATTCATGCATCTACATACCGATCTAGATACAGCGCAAAATTATTTTATATTATCATATTGATACAAGTACCGTGTGGCTTTCCAACAATAAGCGAAAAGACAATAAATATAAACTGATAATATTCTTCTACCAAATGCTGCATCTAAAATCACAGAACGACAAACAACGATATTTCAGGCAGTCATATCAGTAGAAAAGCTGATTCCAATTCTAGATTGTCGCTAATAAAATTTATTTGATGGGCATTACTATAATGCTAGGTTCTCTTAGTATTTGAGAGGCAAACATTACCCAGAACACAGTTAGTGGTCAATGCGTCGATTAATGTTTGTTTAGCTCAAAGAGAAACACTAGCAACAAATAAATCAGCAAGTTTATTTTGAAAAATAGTTGATAAACTAACCCATGAGGAATGAATCTCGGAACAACAAGTTAAGGCAAAACTTAAAGCTTATGTAATCCAAGTCAGGCCAAACGGCATAGATTTGCAACACATTGTCTCTAAATGAGAGGTTAGCTAAGGGCTTTCATTATCAAATAATTAGCTGGCTGCTGGAGCTTCTCGAAAAAATCTCACTTTTTTCTCGTCAAGAATGTGCTTATGCGAATAATTTACAAACTTGTGGGCATTGATGCAATCATACAAGAAATTAGCTTTGAGGTTGCTTTCTTACCAACCTTTTCATAGATATTCTTCTTACAGCATCAATTCTGCTCATCTTCATAAGAATCATATTGCATGGTAGAAATTATCGAAAGCAGCAGCTCCACTATAGGCAGCTTTTGCTCACTGCCAAAATTTATCCAAATAAACTGAATAAATGAGACAGTGATCCTCGTATCTATCCTGAGAATGCAATAAACAAATAACCACAGAACCACCAAATTAATGATGACAAAACATCAAAGCAAGAAAAGTAAGGTTCGTAAACTTTGGAGGGCAAAACCATAATTGTTGCTCAGTGCATGGTGATCACGGTTTTTTGTGCTAATAAATAGATGATTTTTCACTTAGAAATCTGTTTACATGCGACATTCAAAAGTAATATGCCTAGGAAAGATTGTTTGTGCACAGATCGATTAGTTTCACAACATCAATGTGTACATGTACTTATGTTCATAGATAAGCAGATGATGGTTAATAATTACTGGTTACTAAATAAAACGGATTATGTTACACCTAAAGGGTAGGTGTTGGGAAAAATAAATAAATTCAACTAAAACAGAAGGAGAGTTTTTTTTTTTTTTTCCAATCTTTGGGTAGGAGTTGAATAAACACGAAACTAGAAAAGAGTAAAAGCTCCAATAATTTCTATAGTCTCTGGTTCACATACTGGCATTTTCCTGAAATTGAGCAGTAAATTTGCTGCATTATTCACTATATAGTCATGAAGCACGCCTACTTATGTTGTAAGGCACGAGTAACCTAATAGTTCTTTGCCAATAATAAGGTTATAACAAAACAATATGTTCAATCATCCCAAGCTGCAGGGAGACAAAAACCAGGTCTTGACGCAAAAGTAGCTCTTAAGATTCCTTTTGCATTTCCTCGCGACCCTCTATAAATTTTCTTGCTTCTGTTCTCATGATCCACTTGCACATTGTTTAGTTTCAGCTACAAGGTCAAAGCAATTTTTTTTTCTCATACTGAAGACTGTGGCAATGCATATGCTTCATTTCTTGATGAAAATTGATAGGAAGCAGTAATTGTATTTAGCCAATATATATATCCACCAGGTACATTGAACTACGGCATATAATGGGATTGGATGACCAACATATGGCAGATGCTAAATTTGGGCTAATACTGCAGTGATCGACAATCACTGGCGTCCTGGAGATAATGGCCAATGAATGTTTGGGAGCTAACCTTGACCATCTATTATGTAAAAGAATTGATGCGACATTTAATCTATATGGTTAGCTAATATTAACTATGTTCATAAATTATGAGACCCGCATCAAGTAATAATGCTTTAGCCAAATTACCTTATGATCAATGGCAAATTTTGCATAGGATCCACTAGATATGAGAGATATTTTAGAGAACTTATATAATGAAATGTCACTTCAGTTATTGTGAGATCCACTAAAATTTAACATTACTTAGTATTCTATTACTTTATACAGTCAGGAGTTAAATCTTTTATCCAATGATTCTATTCATGAGATCACCCACAATCTTTCACGCAAACTTTGTGAACCTGTCAGTTTAAATTTGAATGAGATGGGCGAGTCAATTAATAACAACTTAATCTTGTTTTTATCCATCCTTCAAACTGACACAAATAGCTTGGAACATGCAAAGTTCCAAAAGAATGCCCATCAATTTTAGATGTCCTTCATATCTCTCTGCCATCTCCTTCTCCAAGATAATCGATAATTATACTAAGAAAAACTGAATAATCTCATATAATTCCCAATTCCCTCATGTTGCCATTATCTACGGGAAAAACTTGAAACCTGGGATTTAAATATTTGACTTGTATCAGTTTGCTCTTGTAAATGATGGAACAGAACCTGACATACATTACATTTAGATCACTGTTTACCAACCTGATCATCTAAATGGCCTTCCCCACCACACCTCAAGTCATGGAGTAATGAATGGCATAACATTAGTTACCCTACCTATCTTTCATGTGATGTGGTTCATGTGAACGCAAATTCCACAGATAATCATTTGATTGATGTAACAACATAAAGTCCTATACACACACAATGGAGTATGCCCCAGTTTTCTGTCATCTACTCAAAAATAACAATTATTTGACTGGTCTATGCAGTACTGTGTTACAGGTTATGAAACTTTTTAACATAAAGTTTTCGTTTACTTTTCTTATCTCTTCCTTCTATCATGGCAAGGGACATTGTGCAACTACAAGAAAGTAGTGGCCTCAAGCAATTTCTTAGACACTTAATAATGTCAGGATAATAGTCCCAAGACTTTCAGACCTCCCTTTAACATCTTAAAAGTGCATAACCACCTGAAGTGAAGAAACAGAAGGTTACAGAACCCTTCAGGCTTCAGGCTAAAGTACAAGGACTAGGGTCAACTACACCAAGCCAAAAGGCAACAGCAACATATAAAAGCAAAAGAAATTTTCAGATTATTATTTATATTTATATTAAATGCAGTGTTCGAAAGAAAAATTAATTCCAGCAAGTATATCAATGTGGATACTTCTAGTAAGAAAAACTTACACTGTGAAGGTTAAAGAGGAGTCAAGCAGGTATTTAAATCATCGTACTTTCCATGCTAAGATACACAACTCTTCCAAGTTCCAACAATACAGCTTCCCCCTTTTCCCTTCTTGGTAACACAGATGGAGAGTTCATGAATTTTCCTTGCTGAGAATGACATTATAAAATAAATAAGGAAAATTGAACTACTAATCATTCGGCTAATGAATATTTCAGCAAACCTCATTGTATTCCATTTCAAGAAATCTTTCATTGAACAATCATACTTTCAACATAATCTGCAATTGAATAATGCAATAATTGCTTCACATTGGTTTTTACAGTGAAACCCATTGGAAAGTGAAATGGTCCAATCATCGAGCAAATAGCAGGCAAAAGACTATTAGTATTTGTTTCAATCAACAAAAGCGATCGAGTTTGCAAATACAGAGTCTACGAAACTAAAATCTCAAACGGCACATTGACGTATGAGATAGGCTCAGTTTTTGACTGTTTCGATCAAATTGATGGTCATGGTACCTTTATTTCTTTTGTTCGGTCTTTCAAGTTTCAAGGAGAGCAACTGAAAAGTAAATGAAGTTCCTATCGTGATTTTGTTCCATTTTGATTTGGTTTCTCTCAGATTCTTGTGAACGGAGTAGATAATTTTTTGGTATCCTCCGTTCACAAGGTTCGGACTAAATTCTACGGTGTTGAGTTGGCTCATTAAGAAAAGAGTATGTTATCTCTGGTTCCGGTGTTTGCTTAAAGTACAGGCTCAAATCCGAAATTTCGGCCGAAATCTAATTATAACTGTCCGTTTAATATATAAAATTTTTTAAAAAAACATAAAAATTAAAAAATATATATTTTGAGAATCGTTATACCTAATTGTTATTTATAAAAAGAAAAAAGAAAAAAAATCGAACCATAGGAATGCTCAAGGGCTTTTTCTTTTCTTTTTTTTTTTCCGCAGACCAGGTTCGCTCAAAAGGTTGACAGGGAGTTGAATCAACGGCGAGTAAGACAACAGACCAAACGAAAATGCGTAAACCTGAAAAATTACAGTATATATTATAGAACAATCACTGAAGAACAAATAATAATTTAAAAAAAAAAAAAGTTCCAAGGAGGAAGCTCGAAGAAGCTGACATGCAGGCACTTCATCATGCCCATTCAATTATTAATTCTTCTAGGTTAGAAAGAATAAATATATCAAACCTGACCATAAAAACTTGACTCTATCAAAGAGGAAAACAAGATTGATTCTACAGTGACGAGAGGTAAAAAAAAACCTAATGAAATACTAAAATACTGCTTCCTTTCTTCAATTCAAACTGCTTGTATAGGACTAGCTTTTCCCTGGCTCAACTCTGACCCGCTTACAGGAGCATTTGCATGAAACGCAGATTGCCTTGATGGCTCCCCAATTAATTTCAGGGAAAGCGGTGAAGGCTCTCTATGGCCTCTCTCAGTCTCTCCTATGCTAAGGTGAGACATGCCAACCAGTTCATCGACATTAACAGGCTCCTTGGCAAAGATTGGGACAGGCTTTAGGACCTTATGACCTGATGTCTCTACGCTCTTTACTTCTTCAAGAGTGGCAGTATTTGGAGGCCAACATGGATAAGGGATGGGCATATAAGCTGGGTAGAATCCAGGAACAAACTGTGGGAATTCATTCAGTTGAGGAACAATTGGTGTGAATTCACTTGAACTGGAAACAGTTTGCCTGAATTCACTAGATCCTGTTGCTGTTTCGTCAGATTCTTTAGCTGGTTCTTCAGATGTAGTTTCCATTGGTTCATATTCTGGTTTCAGAGAGAGGTTTAGCGAAGGCAATGAATTTGCATTATCAGTTTCCCCGACCTGACAAGACACTGACTCTTGTTCTTCTGGTACAGGCTGGGGTTCTGATGCCTGAGAAACAAATATGGAAATAAATTTCATCAAATTCCAAAGGATGATTGATAACACAACTGCAAAAAATATCTCCTTATCTAGTCTCAATACAGTGAAAAAAATCATAGAATACATAACATATTGCTCTGCACCAGCTTGTATATTTATATGAAGATCGCAGAGAACAAGATTTAAGGAAATTTTGATTAGCAACTACCATGCATAAAGTCAAACCCATAAGATCATTTCACTAGTTTTATGATGAAAGAGAAGCATGTCTTTCATTTTTTGCAGTAATTGCATCTATATGTGTTATACTATCTGGTAATGTGGCAAGACAAAAAGCAACAACCAGATTGAGCTAATACATGCAGAAGCAGGTAAATTATTTTCTTTCAAAAAAAAAAAGAAAAAAAAGAAACTTTGGGATTGCTAAATCACTGATGAAAAAAAAGCAACAAGACCAATAAATACAAAGAAGTGCGACAAACCATATCAGGAACCATGTCAAAAAGGCTGGAGCGTCTCTTTCTTCGTGTGGCATTGCTCTGGCGGATGAAATATTTTTGAGCATGGCTTGCTACCTGAGTAGGAGATCTAGACACCACATAGTTCCGAGCTATTCCGCGCCAATCTCCTTTCCCCAATTTCTGAAGACCAACTAAGAAAAGTCGATGCTCCTCTTCTGTCCAAGGGACACCTAAACTCCAATTGCAAACAAATAAGCAAGCAAATCCAAGAAGATCAATCAACAAACTTCGTGCACACCGCCACTGGATGACTATTATACTTTTCACTAAATAATCATGAGAATATCAAACTTGGGAAATGCAGCACATTATATGATTTCTGATTTGTGAAAAGCATGTCAATTTATGAAGTAGATCAAAACAATGACACCTCCTCAAATCCAAAAAGACAATGAAAAATTGATGCTGAGAGATTAAATGATTGAACTATGTATAATTAGTTTGAAAGGGTGGTAACGGAACCACTAGTTTTACTGAAGCAAAAAATTGGATGAAAAAGCCAGACCTGAACTTCACAATTCCAATTAGATATTAATCTAATCACAATCCAAATCTACAGTAAAAAATTGGAACCATGGGGCTCATTTCGTTACATGCATAACATTGAATGAAAAGGAAGGGAAAATAAATGTTTTCACAGAAATCACCTTAAAATGCAGAGCTTAATTCCAATCAAATAGTTGCTCCTATTTGGTAGAAAATTCAGTTGGAGTGCATGTCTGCCAATTGACCCAACAGTAAAATGAATACATTTGCATGTAATTTAATGCAATCCAACAATCTAAGTGCAAAATGCATAGCAGTTCCAACTTCCAATAAAGATTAGATAGCAATGGAATTCCATAAATAAAAAGAGAAGTGCATTTTTCCTTTTGGTAAATTACAATGAGCAAAATTCCACATCAGGTCGTTCAAAGAAAGAAAGCATTCCTCACAATTATGAAGAAACATAATAACTGGTAAAGTTCAATACATCCGGTCTTCAGTATCAACTAATATCGAACTCTGATATTTCTGAACTTAACCCATATAGCAAGAATCGTTAAACTATCTGGGATGACAAACACATTCCAGAAATAGATCCAAAAAGCATATTTGACTATGTGAAGTATTAACAAGGATAGGAAACAGAGTCAGTATCTTTCACAAAAATATGAATCGATTTTTGAGGATGCTGGAAAACAGGAAGAAAAGGCTAATAAATTATTCACAATTCAAGGGGAAATGTGGGCACTGTCATCATTCCCATTTTTCCTTCTCCATTGCTCTGTTTTCTCTCTACCCAAATGATCTTTCAACATCATTTTGAATTGAGCAAATTCCAAGTTAAGCAACATCCTAAACTTTTCCCATATAATTTACAAAGGACTACGCATCGTCATGTCACAGAAACTTTGCAATGCAAATTGCCCAAAAAAAAAAAAAAACGTAATTTCTGAATCAGACCAAACTTATATTTTAACTTGATAAAACTAAAAACAATAACTCCTGCACAAAACAAGATAAGAAAAAGGCAGAAAAAAAAAAGCCAGTATGGCCAAAACAGTAAACTCTTATCAGAGGGCCTAAGCAAGGGAATATTTTAGCAAACTCCAGAGAATGGCATTTTCATAACTAATTGGGAATCATGTCTATGCACTTTTATTGTAGGAACAAGATATAATATAAACTTAAAAGATGAGATCTTTTCGTCTATATATTAATATGCGGTGCATACGGAACAAACGAACACCGCCAATTATATCCGATAACAATAAAATCATTTCAAATATCACAAATTTAAAATTAAAAGCTAGAAAATATGGATGAAATATGAGTGATCATTAACAGGCAGAATTTACAATTATTAATAACATAAAATCTCTTACCTTATCCACCCGTCACTATAAAACAAGTAGCTTCATGATCACCAAAAACAAAATTAAAGACCAAAAATCAATACCAACAAATATACAATGAACAGGATATTGTTCGACTTCATCCAAGATCAACAGACTCTTTGGGGAAAAAAAAATCAATGATAAAGATAAGTCATAATATAAACTGTAAAGCAGATAAAAAAAAATGACCATATAACTTTTCTCTTTTTGCCGCGGAAAAATCATTAGAAATTTAGAAGCTAACCTTTCTTTCTCTCTCCGCGTCGATTGGTGGAGCAGCTAGCATGAGCCGGGTCATCAGACAAGTATCCCTCCGGTACGTTACCGGAATCTCGAACATGATCCGACAATGGAGAGTCAGGATTGGGTGAAGCGGCAGCTGATGATGAGGAATGGTAGTGCGCCGACAAGTTACTCATACTCGCACTCTTCTTAATAATGGAGCCATCGGTGAGTCTGACCCCGAAGAGCCTCACTCCGGATAGTGACGAAGCCGAAGATGACGACGCGCCGGAGGAGCGCGTGGGACAAGTCCGGGAGTTGTGTCCGTTGTTGCTGCAATGCGAGCACCGTCGAGTCATGGTGAATGGCTCGGCCGAATCACCACCGAGTTAACCGGAGCAAAGGTGATAAGAAGAAACAGCTAACCAGATAAATTTAGAAGTTTATAAATAGAGAAACCTTTAATCAGAGGATGAAGAGAGAGCGAAGGAGAGGTTGCATGGAAAGAGAGGAGATTAAGGAGGGGGATTTATTTTGGGAGAGAGAGGTCAGGGGTAATGTAGGCATTTCACCTTTCGTGCAAATTTGGAGGGGATTTGAGGGAGAGCCATGGATCGTTCGTTGGTTTAGTCGTGGATTGACGTTTTTGTCCTTCCAATTAAAGAACTATGGTCTGAATTACCAAAATGATTAAAAAGTATGTATAACAGTAAGTTTTTCACTAACATAGCATTAACTATAATGATTTTTTAAAAAATTATCTTTTACTTTTAATTATTATTTATCAATCACAATAACTAAATCATATTAGCAATAAAATCTTTTAATAAATAGAAAGTCCTCTAACAATAATTATTATTTATCACGTTAAAGTATATTTTAATGACAGGCGTACGTATAAGTACAATCTAATAATAATATATTCAGGTTGAAATTCTTTTTCTTCCTTAATGCTAAAATTAATAATTAATATTTGAGATCGGTGATGATTAAATCAAATTAATAATTTGTAAAAATATATTAATCCTGTGTTATATGACAAAAGCTCCTGTTGTTACCTGGAAAAAAATAAAAAAAAGGAAAGGTTTATTAATAGGTTATTTAGTAAAGAACTTAAAAACGTGGAAGTAGTACCTTCCTTTGAAAGACGTGTTATAAATGCTTTGCAAATTGAAATGAAATTAAATTGACAAGTGTATCAAAAAGAACAAACTTTCTTTGTATTAGGACAAAGTTGTGCCTTTGCAACAACTTAATTGATTCTTATCCTCAACAAATTGATTCTCTTTGTTTGCAACACAGATTGTGTTGATTTATATTTCTTTTTTTTTTTATTGAAATAAGTTATTATATTTAAAAAAATAAATAAATAAACAACTAATATCAACGGAATTAATTACCACTAAAGAACAAGCAATATTTTTTTATTGTATAAATCTTTTGTATCCGAATCCTATTAACAGAGACCGACTAAATTTGACTCAAAGATTAGTCCTCCCGGCAAGTGTGTATAGTGGAACTGAACCCAAAAGCTCTTTTTACATGCCCAGTCTACGTCGCCAACTGAACCACAATTCATATATAAGCAATATCTCTTTTTTATTTTGCTGTTGCTAAATTGAATCAAGGTATATTGATCTCAAATTCAACGTTTGAATTCAATTTAAAACATTGAGTTTGAAGAGTTTAAACTCAATTCATTTATAGTTTATAGTCCAAAAAAGAATCGTGAGGATTGGATCACAGAATATGTTTAGCAATATTAGCTCTTTTTAGTAGCGCTTATATAGTTGATAACTCTTTATAAAACTGTTTAGTTCAGTAAAAATAGTTGCGTGAACAATGGATATAATTGTCAAAAAAAAATCTAATTAATCTTTGTGAAAAAGTTAAAATGATTAATCTTTCATAAAAAGTTTCATTAACTTTTAAAAATTAATTATAAATATAATTAATATAAATAGAATTTTAACTTAGATAAAAAAAAATAGTATAAACAATTTCGAACCTGTTGCGGAACAGGTTCATAATAATAACAAAATATAATATTTCACCTGGCATTAGATTTGCATTATGGATATAATTGTCATTTCAAATGAAATATAAATGGAGTCAACCACTCAACATGGATAATCCTTTATTTTGTTTATACATTTTTGGAAATGGATAATATTTACGAGACAGAAACAGATTTTATCCAACTCGGGGAAAATTAAATACTTGAATTCAACTTAAATATTAATATCTTATTACCAAAATGTCCCCATGTCTAACATGAAGGGTACATTTGGAAATATATATCGAAATTAATCGATGATTTACTATGGCGAAGGTGGTAATTGTAAAGTGCTCCGAATCACAGGACTACCCTAAAAGTCTAGTGGATGTATTTAACCATTCAAAATGTTCCACGTGGAATACAACTGGCCCATCCTTTTCATTTCATGGGGCCCTTTTCATGGATCATCGCACACTTGTACAGTAAAAATTCATGGGATTCGAACTTTAAATGATTTTTCTAATCAATAAGAGATGACCTCTAATTATTATGTCTTTCAAAGGTCTTTTGCTTCAAAGTGCTTCGTAAGCTGGTTAAGTTCAAGAATTTGATTAGTTGTCCCATCAAGAAAAGCTCCATCCTAACCTTTTTTTTTTTTTTTTTAGAATTTTAAATTAGTTGTCGCCATCAAGAAAGCTCCCATCCTAACCTTTTTTTTTTTTTTTTTAAACAAACCAATTTTTTTTTTGTCATGTACGTTAATTAGTTCTTTTTTTTTTTTTTTTTTAACACCATTTTTTTTTGTCATGTACAAGTTAATTAGTATGTTTTTAGCATAAAAATTTACTTAACTTTTTATTTTTATTTATATTGCTCCAATAATAAAAAAGGAAAGGACTTACATATTTTGGATTTTTGAATATACCATTGAAAAAATAAATTTTTAGTAATAAAGAATATATTTCTGATTATTTACTGAAAAATAAAAATAATAATAATAATAATGTTTTGAAAAACATTTTATGGATCCGCTTGAGTTATAGACCACCCATACGCAAGTGGCAAAAGTCTTATTCAATAAAAAAAAAAAAAATACCATTTGTTATGCTCATATAATAGAAGTGTCCAATTTTATACATTATAATAGACTTTAAATTTTAATTATGCAATACTAAAAAAATTTAATCATGCCAGATGAACGTTGAGAAAAAAAAAAGGTCAATTGATTTTTTTTTTTTTTAGAATTTTGTTACTCACAAAAATATTATTATATGTTGATTTGGAATAAAAAAAAAAAATCAACGGCTGAACTTAAGTAATAAAAAATAATTGTTATGATAAGAAAAGCAGAGAGATTACAGAATGATAAAACTTGCTAATTACTAACTATTATATGATCATCGAGATTTTATCATATTAGTTTTACTTTGTCATGTTTTATTATTATAATTATAAATAAATGTCATTTTCAAAGATTTGAGTTATAATTGGATAATCATCCAATTGCAATTGCCATAATTTATTTATAATAACAATATAATATGGTTACAAGTTGTGGAAGCACAAGCAAAGGAGTTTATTCTTATTTGCCATGACGGATTATGTTAACACTAACAAGAGATAATGCTATTTAATTTAGAAAAGCAAGCCTGAAGTTTTGCAAATGATGCTCGAATTGTTCTTTTTCAAATTAATGGATGATGCAAAAACTAAAAAAGAAAAAAAAATTATCATCATCAATAAAATTTTTATGATTTTTTTATTTTATAATTAAAGAATTAATAAATTGATAGTATTTACTAAAATATTATCGATCAACCAGCAAGATGTTAGTTAAAATATTAAGCAATCTCAAACCCTATAAAGGTGAGAACATAAGTTATATTATCGAAAAGAGTGATAAACTATTTTATATATACCGTGATCAATCCTAATATCAAATTATCAAAATATTATTAAATCCTAAACATGATAAACTTAGAGCAATATTTTAGTATCGATGGCCCTATAGCTAGTTAATTTATTTTAAAAACTCATTGTTTTTGTCACTGCCACTACCTAATTATTGTAATTATAGATTATCATATTTGTATTATAGCCATAATTTTATATATGTATATGGAAGAGATATTTTTTTATTTAACAACACGATATCATACTATATCATACTGACCAGATGTGATTTGGTAAGTTACTCTATAATATTTAAATTCATAATTTTATAATTTTAGGAGATGTATTTGAGTAGGATTGTGTAAGATTTTTTCAAAAACTGTTCAGTTTGATGGAATTGAAGGATTTTTTAAAATTTCTATAGATTATACTAGAATTCTACATATAGTTTTAAGGAATTTGTGAGCCTTTTTTTATAGATTTTGATTGACTTTGATTGAATTGTAGTGATTTTTCTATATCTAATCAAAATTAATTTCAGGATCTAATTGAACAAATTAAAAGATTTTGGAGTCCATTTGAAAAATTGAAAAATAATCAGGAATCAAAAAGTAAATATGTTATATTCTCCAAATCGTTTTTTTTTTCTTTATTAAAACCTTACCGCCGCAGACAGTGAAAGATCTGCAATGGCCAAAATCACCAGCAACCATTTTGTGCTCCCAGAATACTCACAATGTAGTCAGAAAACTACAGACTTCTTATCCCTTGACTGAACGACGACTATCTCCTCGGAAAATCCATTTATATATTTGAAACCGAAAATTAGCAATCACCGCTAGCCAGGACCTATACCAACTACCAGAGCTTGCATAAAGAGGCAGTTTTATATTAATTTAAAAATGATGTACGGCCCGTTGCTTATAGCTGAGGGAGCCTAGTGGTTCAGCCATAATAATGACAGATTGTATTCTTCGGCTCTTTGACTATTTCAAAACTTTTTCAATTTTTTATTTGATTAAATCATTATTTAATTGAAATCAAAAAATATCAAATAAATTCTGAAAATTGAAGCAACATTAATATTAATTTTTATCACAATATCAAATTCTCATCACATGAATTAATTTGAAACTAATCCAATAATTAATACATTGTTTTACATCTTAAGATCTAGGATACTTGTTCTGCTCCGATCCATTTAAAGAGAATATGGATAGTTATAAAATGGTTTGTAACGGATAAATTACTGTCCATAATAGATATGAGTGGTGAAATTACTACCCATAATGGATACAGGTAGGGTATGTGTATAAATATTTAGATACCCGCTATCCATTAATCGCTATATTAAACAGGTTCGATAATGATACCTGCAGGTACCCTATCATGGGCACCCTATCTATTAGTAAAAAATGTATTTTAAATAAATTCAAATTTGAATAGTTTAATATTTGCGAGCACCCTGCCCGTTTAAGAGGTATTTCAGACGCGTTTTGGATAGATATTAAAATTTAAACAGGTTCACATATGGGTATTTAAATGAATTTAGAACGGATACAAGTAGTAAAATTTTAAACGAATTTGTTTAATTCGTGGGTGCTCGCTCGGCTTCCATCCTTATTAATGCGTGTATTGGATTAAGACTCTGTTAAATTTTAAAAGATTTTTAAAATTTTTGAGTTGGAAAATGAATTTATGAATGACTCTTTTATTTATACTTAGCACCTTAAAATCCAACGAAATCAATAATTTTTGAAATCAATAATTTTATAAAATCCTTCCAAATTAATAATTTTTTGAATAGCATCAAATTTATATAAGCTTTTAAAAAGTTATAATTGAATACTATCATATTTTTATAGATCTAATAAGAGTCTGAATTGAATATCTTAAATTTTTAATAAATTTCAAAAAATCTAAATTAAATTAAAATTTTAAAATCTTTTAAAATTTAATAAAATTTTAATCTAATATACCCTCGTCTAAGTCGGTTTGCGCTTTTATCTGATAACGAGCAAAACCTTATCTAAAGGCAAAATGGAAAAAACATGTATATATAGACATTAAAGTCAGTGCGGACATGTGAAAGCAGTAGTCAGTAGATATAGTGCAGGCTACAGTCAGCCACGTGGCGGATCATGATTTAGTTTAGATGATAGACAAAGTGAAAGGCAAAGTCAATCTTTGCAGACTTTTTATTAATAATAATACCGTGTTTTATTATCTCCAAGAAGATAACATAGAAAGAGGCAAGCAACTCTCTTTTTATCATACAATTTGAAAATGAAATAAAGACTTACTTAAAGAATGTTATCTTCCAGGAATATCTCAGAGATAGACTTTATTAAGAAATAACCGGTTAGACGTGCTCTAATTGATTTTCTATTATGTATAAAATATATAAAATAAATTGATTATATAACTTTAATGTAATATTTATTATATTTAAAATTTCAGGTCCCTTAATAAATTGTCTAAATTATAATAAATCATAGAGTAAATTGACTATATTATTTTTAATTACTAATTCTCTAAGAAAATTATTAGATTAAATCAATATTTATTGGTCATATATCAATTGTAAATATGAAAAAAATATTTATTACTCGTTGAAACAACAAATGTGATAAGGATTTTAAAGTAAACAAATTTCTCAAATGTGACAAAAAAAAATTAACGACCCGCTCAATTTATTATTCTACTTCTCCTAACCTTCAATATTTATTTAAAAAATAATCAACATATATTTAGATATAAATTATAAGAATATTTGTATAGTTGAAATAAATAATGGCCAATTTGACCTCATGGGTCACTTGATAAGCAAAAATAAATAAAAAGAAAGAAAAGCTTGGCATGCATCCCAATCATCATCACTACGAGGTTACTATTTTCAGTATATAATGTGAGGAATTTAAATTTTAGAGTTTTCAATAGCAATTTAGGGAGGAAATAAAATATTAAAGGAAAATAAGAAAAAATATATAAAAGAATTTTTACTCTTGATATTTAAATGTTTAAATTGATCGTTATGCCCTTATTAAATTTTATCTTATTTTAAATATATAAAAAGAATTTTTACTCGTTGTATATTTAAATGTTTAAATTGATCGTTATGCCCTTATTAAATTTTAAAATATTAAAGGAAAATAAGAAAAAATATATAAAAGAATTTTTACTCTTGATATTTAAATGTTTAAATTGATCGTTATGCCCTTATTAAATTTTATCTTATTTTTAATAATTTTCATTAATTTATTATTTATTTTAGAATGATTAATTCATTACTTTTTTAAATCAGTTTTACTTTGTTGATATGTTTTTTTGTAATCTTATTCTTCTACTTTTTTTTTCCCTTAAATTTTGAAAAATTAACGATGTCTTTTACTTTCATTAATTGTAATTTATATTTTTCAAATTATATTATCCATATAATTCTTATCATTTTAATATAATAATTATTCGTATTGAGATATTTATAATAAAAAATTATGATAATAAAATTACGTACTATAGTAATTTTTCTTTTTTTAATCTGTATAACAACAGAAAGTAAAGTATCTTGTCAGGAGTACCATCAGTTGTATTGTTTTATTTCTTAATTTTCTTTCCTCTTATATCCTTCACAAACTTAGAACGTAATATTTAAAATTGCTGAGCTTGGAGGAATTTATTTCAATACTACCATTCTAAATCCATAAATGAGAAAAAGAAAAGGAGAGAGAGAGAAAAGAAAAGCGTGGCATGCATAACAAAATCAAAAGGAATTGACAGTTCTGACCAAAATCTCGACCGCAATTTATTCATGAATAGCCGCCCTCATTTTTAATTATTTAATTATTAAAAAACCTACTCTACTCAAATTGGCCCACACATTTTTAATTTTTTCTATATAAGTTAAGGATAATTATTCCTCTTCTAAAATATCTCTCTCTCAAATACTGATAGTATTCTCTAAAGATAGAAAGGTGCAAATGTGAAATTAAATGAAAATGTCTTGTAATTTTCATGAAAAGGAATACAGATTTATTATCCTAAGCTGTAACCAAACCACCTTCCATGAAAGTGAAAATGGCGGATTTTTCCAAGATAATACAGTCTTCAAAATGAGCTTCCATTTTTGACTCTTTCATTCATTCTGAGCTACGGACTTCCATGGTGGGTTTGAATTTCCCTTAACCGATACCCCAGTAAAAAAAATATTGAATATTGAATAATAAAAGTGGTAATTCTTTAAAAATGACAATTAAACTATTAATTGCAGGAAAATATTGAATAAATATACTTTAATAAAATAATAAAATATTTTCCAGTTAAAATTTGGCGTTTTCGCATATTTCCATAAATATAGATCAATTTTGAACATTGAACGCTGATTTGAAGTTTTGGCAATTGGACTAAGCAAAATTCTACTTGTTCATCCAGTGAGATGGAGACCGGATTTGACTCTTCCCAACTAGACATCAGTCCACGTTTGGATTCTAAAATCGGGCTTTATCCAACGCTAACTATTTGGACTGGATTTTGTTTCTGGAGGCCAATATAGTAATTACACCATGACATTTTATTTTAATTTATTCCGGAACGATCTTCTCCGTAGTTTTCAAGGACTGGTCGCTTCTGGAGGACAATTAGATAAACGACAACCACGATCCCTTTAAAGTTTAAACCACCCCCACCCAAAACGACGCCTGCTATCTTGTGAGATACAAGAGCATGGGAGAAAAAAACAAAAAAAGAACGCCAATTCCAAATCTTCCACCTTACTTAACCCACTTCTTAAAAAATAGGCTTATGAAATTAAGCTGAAGTTTCGTGAAAGCAGAAGCCTCACTGACTTGGTCTTTTGAAATGAATTCATTTGGTCAACTACTGCCAAATTCCATAATTCAAGATTTCCATTGCTTACAGTATACGTATTCTCTGAGTAGCTTAGAAGTCAAAGAACACCAATGAATTTCATTTCCGTGTGAGAAACTTTTTTTGAAAGTCCACAATAACTTTTCCATGCTATGTTGATCCAACTACCAGCACCTATTGTGCTACTTTTCCGCCAAATGGCAGTTACAGGATAACACAAAAGAAGACATTAATAATAAAAACTGAATCAGAAAGGGTATGAAAAAAACAAAGAATAACAGCTTTTCATGTCAGACTAAAAGTGATCCTCTAGTCTTCTATTTTTTTTCTTTGAATTTTCTTCATCATCACGGGGTGGAGGTTTAGAATCAGAAAGGGAATTTTAACTTCTGCCACTTTCACCGGTAGCTTCGGTAGGCAGGACTGTACATGCAGCTTTCAGCATACTTCACAAGGTCCTTAGGCTGAGGGAGACGGGTAGCCAAACCTGTAGACGAGATAATTGCAAGCCGGTAGTTATAAGAGTGTCACATGTTAAGAATTATATATGCAGATCTTGGATAAGCTGAATTTTACTTGGTAAATAAAGGACTCACCAAGTTCATAAGCTTTAGCAGCCACATTGGCAGCGATATGTGCTGAAATCTTTCTGATGTTTGTAAATGGTGGGTATATCAGTCCATTGTCGAAGTTCTCCTGGCTCACCTGTGCAGCCAAAGCTTCCGCTGCACCAATGAAATAAGCACAAACATGGAAATAGTTAAAGATCCCGGATTAAAACTCCAGAGCCATCTCCTAACACCTTTCTATTTGAGCAAATTCAGGTACATTTCTCAAAAACTTGTATTCTTTTGTTCACTTACATGCTGCCAGAAGCATATCATCATGAACACGGATTGTGCCGGACATTATTAAACCCAGACCAAATCCAGGGAAAATGTAAGCATTGTTTGCCTGAATGACAAAGAAAAAGAAAAAGAATATCAATCTCCAATGGATCAAATTTCTCAACTAAGAAAACCATTTAAATTATCAAGCTTCCTACCTGACCAGGCACATGAGTATTCCCCTCGTATTCAACAGCGGGAAATGGGCTTCCACTAGCAAAAATGGCACGACCCTGCCAGTAACAATGAGCAGGAATTTTTAGAACCAATTGATAATGTAGCAGTCCAATAGAAGGCTGCATCACGATCATATCGAAAAGAATTTTTTTATGGGAAAAGCAATGTTATAGGTTAAATTTGTGTGGGTAAATAACACAAACCAGCTGTATGTTTGTATTACCTGACTCCATGTATAAGCTTCTTCAGCAGTACATTCAGACTGTGAAGTTGGATTGGATAGAGCAAGAATTATGGGTCTCTGCGGGTAGTCAAGCAAAATATGGTTATTTTATAGTTCAACCAGTTCATAGTTTTGATTAAACTAAAGTAACTGGAAAGGAAGACCCATACTTCATAGAAGGAGGCCATAGCCTCAACCACTTCTTTAGTAAATGTTCTTCCTACTCCAGATGTTCCAATCAACACTGTTGGCTTAATGTCCTGATGAATCAGACAAGAAAAGAGATTATAAGACAGTTTTTGATTCGCTCTGCAAGGGGAGAGTCGGAAGGGAAGAGAGAGAGTGAGAGAGAGGTTGTACATTGACAGCATCCAGAAGTGTCTTCATAGGTTCATGGTCATGAGCCCAGGGCTTCTTAAAATGTTGTAGCGAGTCCATACGAGAACTAACAATTAAACCCTGCAAAGGAATTTGAGTATGAATTTAACAGATATAAAAAGACAGAACATGTAGCTAATGATCATTTTCCTTCAATCAGCTAGAATCAGAACAGATTTTTTTTTTTCTACCTTTGAGTCCACAAGCCAAATCTTCTTGCGAGTCTCTTCCACTGGCATGTTGTTCTGCACTCAAGTAGTGAAAAAATTATAGTTGCTTACATCTGTTTCACATCAATTACTCTCATAATCATATCTGAGTAAAAAATAATTAGAAAAAAAATAAATAAAAATGGTGCTGACAGACCTCTTTGGACATCTCAAGGGCAATGAGTTCTGCAATTCCAGTGCCAGCCTGTGATCGGCAACAAAGTGAGACTCGCAAAATTAGAAAGAGATGCTGGGTTGATAAATGTAGCCAAGGTGAGGAAGTAGTTCATTCATTATACTTAAAGAATCATAATATATATATATATATATATATATGCTGCGTAAATGAAGTAATCAATTTATTTTTTTCCCTTTATCAGCTTACGTGTTCATAAACTTCCATAAATCTACATTTTGATTCAGGATTCTCCCTGCTTACTTATTACAAGGGTTATTAACCAAACTATTAAGAATTATCAGCACAATTATTATCTGCTCACCTCTCCAGCACCAAGAAATAAAAATTTATGGTCAGCTAGAGTTCCACCAAGTAATTTCAGTGCTGCAATAAGCCCTGCAAGGACCACAGATGCTGTGCCCTGGAATGAAACATTGTATTTAAGTATAAGAGCTGTATCATTCCTAGGTGCTAAATATTGCAATTGTATATGTAAAAAGAAAAAAAAAAAAATACCTGAATATCATCATTGAAAACAAGATGTGTTGTACCATATTTAGCGAGCAGATCAAAAGCATTGTGATTTGCAAAGTCTTCAAACTGCAGAAATATATGCAGATTATAACAAAAATTAAAAGCTACACTTTTGGCTACCCATACAAAATTAGACACGCAAAATCAAACTAATAAACAAGTGCAGAAATGAAAGCATAAATAAACAAAGATAATCAGACTCTTTGCCCATGGCTAACTACCTGAACAAGGATTCTCTCACCATAGTTCTTCTTGACTGCAGTCATGAATTCATGTAGCAGTTCAGAATACTCCTGAAATGGAAAAAACAGCAACTCACTTCAGTATGACGGGAAAGCATGCAGTATCTATAATGAACCTCCTAAACATAAGTCTAGCCAAGTTGGGGGAACACATATCAGGTACCTGTCCAGTAGCTCGTCTCTGCCTAAGCCCTATGTAGAACTCATCATTTAACAGCTTCTCATTGTTGGTACCCACATCGATGGTCACAGGCAAGCACTGCAGTTGGTATTCTTTTTGTTAATAATCAAGGAAATGATGACAAGATGCAAAACTTTTCAACAATTGTCAATTGTCCCATTCATATACAGCAAATACAGGCAGGCATTGCCATCATCAAACAAAGAAAAAAACACCGTAAGTGCTAAATACCATCATTCAATCCTAAAAATGATGGTTGACAGAATTATGGACATTCTACCATGAAGGCCTGACCTAAGAAGGTATATCAAACATGCCCCTGACTTCAGTTGAAAGAAAGCAACACTCCATGACAATTTTTGCTTGGGTATGTCAAAAAGAAGAAAAAAAAAAAAAAAAGAACAAAAGTAACTAACAATAGAAGGTTGGAAATAGTTTTTAAGTCGATACTTACAGCTGAAGGACGAACTCCACCAAGTGCTGTATATAAAGCAAGTTTCCCCACAGGTATCCCCATGCCCTGAGAACATTAAGTGTCACCAACCAAGTGAATTAAATTCCTTACAAGTGCATGCATGTGCATCTGCGTGTGACAGAGCCAAAGAAAAATGCGCAAAAGGATGCATCAAAGTAACTTTTGAGAGTGCATTTAGACAGAGCTCACCTGACAGCCAAGGTCCCCCAGCCCTAAAATCCGTTCACCATCAGTCACAACAATAACTTGAATATTCTTCTCAGGCCAGTTCCTCAACACCTCAAGAATTCTACCCCTGTAAAAGAGGAACCATCAGCTAGACCACGGACAGCAAGAAAGCATTGCAATAGAAATTGAGTTCCACAAAAATAAATATAAAACATATTGTATGGTACTTACTTTTCATTCAAACTGATGTAAAGACCCTGAGGACGTCCAAAGATACTTCCATATTTCTGGCATGCCTCACCAACAGTTGGAGTGTAAACAATAGGGAGCATCTCTTCAACATGCTCAATGAGAAGCTTGTAGAAAAGTTTTTCATTTCTCTCCTGCAATAAAGGTGGTATATTTGTTTCATATTCTCCATAAAATAAAGCTGGAGGTCAGCAGTAACATTTAAAACAGTAATTCTGGAAAAGGGCATGCTCGCCATAGTTTCAGTTACACTAGAAAAAATAAGCGAAGCAGACTAAGGAACATGATATTACTTAGGTCTATAATATTTGGAGACAACATTAAGTAACAGCATTTTCAATGCTCCTAATTGTTCAACAAATCAGTTGGCTATGTACATTGAAGCATGGATACAGGTAAAATTTACAGCCTAGAGACAAATAAACTTTGCTGTTACCTGAAGGTCCATCATAGCCATGTACTTTTGCAGTGGAAATTGATACTGGCGAATAATGTGCATCATTTTCTTTACCTGGCAAGTAGAGGGGCCAAAAGTTTCATCAGATTTCATATTAAATAGAGAAGGGAGAAAAATAAAAAACTACAAAGCTAGATACAATGAACCAAAGGCCGGCAAGTAAATAACCTGGAGCTCCTGAGAAACGACTGCTGGTGGAAGAAGGCCTCGCAGGTAGTGGGCATTTCTCTCTTTATCATTGAAGGCAAGCCCCTTGTTGTGATGTGGATCTCTCAACAAAGAGTACCCACTGCAGAATAAGAAATGTAAAAGAAAAAACAGTATAACAGATTCAGATTATCTTATGGCAATCAAAAACATGAAGAAAGAATGCATAAACTGAAAGCTCCAAATGAAAATTGAATAACTTAAGTAAAAACTGCTAAAATACTCTATGCAAGTCCTTTCTTCTACAAAGCACAAGGGACAAAAAAAAAACAAAAGAAAAAGAAAAAGAAAAAAAAAGTCTTAACAGGTTCTATGGTTGTGAGACAACTGCAAGAATCCTTAAATTATTATGCCCCTGACACTATTTCATTTATTTATGAAAAGAATCAAGTAGGGTAAAAATAAAAAGAAAAGAAGAACAAATAGGATTGCATAAGAACAAGAATCTATAAGGAATCACAAACACCGAAAAATAATAAGATAATATAGTAGATAAATATACAAATTTCTCTTTGAGAAAAGAAAGAGATAATTCAGAAATGAATGTCTAATTTTCACAAATACAGTATTTATCCTTTCAAATATTACTATTATTGTCAAACCAATAGTTGCTTCCAAAATAATACGCCAAAATAAATAAATAAAAGAACCAACCTAACCAAAACGGAGCCACAAAGTAACACAAACTTGTGCAATACATCAAGTATCGACCACACAACACGCTAAAAACATCGATATCATCGAGATCATGGCGTGACTGAATTAGTAAAAGAAAATGAAAGAAAAAACCAAGAGGAGATCTTCACATCGATTTTGACTGATAAAATCAGAACTTACCTAGCAACAGAAAGGGACCATGGCGTGACAAGCTGGTCCTCGGTGGCTGTATCCTCTCCATACACATCACGAACGCCACCAGTAACGGTGGCTTTGTCAGAGTCGAAGTCAAGTACGGAAGCTCCATCTCTGATTTCCTGCAGTGAGCTCTCCATTACAACGCTGCCGTTCCGATCCCTATTAGGATTCAAAGCCACTACTTTTAATGTTGAAGGAGCTGTAGGTACTAGTCCTTTCTGTTTCCCTGAGAAAGGGCTACACGAGCCTGAGATGCTCGTGTTACTCTGTTTAACACAAACCATAAACGAATAATAATTAGGAAATAAACAAAATTTATTTTTTGCTTTAAGTTAATAATGGCAATCATCAATAAATTATTAACATAAAAAAACTCGATAAATAAAGAGACCCAGAAAATGGAAATCATGAAAAGGGGTTGTAAATCTTAATTAAAATAATTAATTGCAAAATGTTTAGAGAAGTAGAGAAAAATATCCGTGCATTTGAATTCAAAACAAAATCTATAAGTGAACAAGGATAGATAGCGAAATGGATGAGAAGACAAAGCCCAGATACGGTTAATCTACAATATTTTCAAAAAAAAAAAAAATTAAAAGTTAAGTAATTTTCGGTTCTTCTTAAATAATCCAGATATAACAAACATACTCACAAATGCAAAATCAGCTAAAGAGAAAGCAAAAACAAAAACAGAATAATCTACGAAGTTGCCGATACAAGATGTAAAATGCTAGATTCTTTGATTCATTAATGCAAGTGCGTGAGCATGAAACTGTAAATAGAGAAATGAGTATGGTTTATTTACCAGGAAACTGCTATTCAACGAGATCATGGCGGAGGAAATGTGGAGAAAGACAGAGTCTTTCGCGTTCTAAAAACACTCTCACTCCGCAGAGGAAAATAGAAAACAAAGGAAAAAAAAAAAAACAGAGAGAGAGAGAGAGAACAGAGTCTTTCGTCCGCTTCTTAAAACTCCGACTCTCCATCTTTCCGGCAGAGAGATAAAATAAGACAAACCCAAATGCCGATCAAATAATCAAAACAAAAACTAGAAGCATGTACTGATGGAGGAGAAACCTAAAGGAACTAGTTAACGAACTCGAAAAAAGTTTAACAGGAGGAATTAAGGAGCCTTCTGAACGAAAAAAAAAAAAACAGAGAGAGAGAGAGAGAGAGAGAGAGAGAGAGAGTAGAGAGAGTCTTTAGGAGGAAATTTATAAAAGCTTGTCCTAGCACTGGGCTTCCCTCTTTCTGCGCCCTCTCTCTCTCTCTCTCTACTTAACGGGGCAGGGAGACAGAGAGAGGAGGAAGATGGAGAAATGGCAGCGAAGGAAGCTAAAAACGTGTCTGAACTCCCTTTCCCTCTTCATAAAATGACATGCGTGCAACTGCTTTTGTCCAAATATTACCGGTGTGTCCTAAAGTTTCATGTGGGACCCCGTTCTGAGTTTGGGGTTTAGATTTGTAAGAGTGAATTACCTACACCCGTGTGTGCGTGAGCCCATACATTACATCAAACCAATCTAATACAATTGTGGGACAATTATATTTTTATTATTGTTATTTGACATAATTAATAACTTTGTCCTTATATTTTAAAAATTATATTATTTTATCCATATTATTTGGATTCATAAACAAATTATCTATCTATCTAGTATTTGAGATTTAAGTTGTTAAGTCTAGTGATATTATAAGACTAATTTTATATACATATGAATTAAAAGGAAAAAATTAATTTTTTGTTTCTATATTTTCATATATTAAGTAATTCATCCTGGTATATTAAAATTTTCACTATTTTATCTAAGTATTTTGGATCTTTCAACTGCTTAAATCTCAGAAAATCATTTTATTTTCCTAAATTTTAGATATAAATGAAATTTTTTTTCCTAAAAAAATCTAGCTATTCTCAAAAAGAAAATATATAGTTAAGTTGATTAATTAATCATTTAAGGTAAAGTCAAGGCTATTATATATCAAGACAAGTAGCTAGAATCAAATATTATGTTTTTCAAATTAATTTCATTTACTTATATTTATTTCAAGCATTTTGTTAATTCTGATTATAAAAAGAGAAAATTTATGAGATGAGAGATTTGTTTTTATGGTAATTGTAGGATTGGAGTACCTTGAGATTAGCAGAAGAGTCTTGTCCTTCCCTTATTACCAACCTAAGATTCTCCATCAAAAATATTGATTTTCATGGCTGTTATGCAAATGTCATGAATGGGAACTTCTCCTCTACGGGAATCAAGAATGACAAGATTTTCCTGCATTTTTGGGGCTTCACTGAAAGATAAATTTCTTCCGCCCATACAACTGAGTCTGTTTAGTAAAATTAACCGATACAATGAGTCTGTTTTGTAAAATTAATTATCTTGATAGCGATCAATTATTTTAATAATATTTTAGCTATTTGAGTAAATAGTAGTTGTATGAATAGTTTTTCAGGATTAAACGTTTATACAATGCTATTTTAACTTTTAAAAGGTAGTTGAAACACTATATTACCAACCAGTATACGTTCAAAATTATTTAAAAAGCTGTTGCCGAATATAACAAATATAAAATTATATCACCATACTCTTATTCCAAATCATTTTTCAGACTTTAAAAAAAAAAAAAAAATGAAGCATTAGCACAAGTTAGTCATTTTCTTGAAGAAAAATATTTGAAAACAACATTCCAATATTTTTATCAATGGGAGAAAAGCAAAATTCAACATTCCAATATTATAATTAGTTGAATTTTGCTTATTGATCCAATATAATCCATAATTAATACTGGTACTTAAAATAATTGATCCAATAAAACCGATAAAATTCATGAAAAGTTTGAATTTATTTAATCTGAATCGAACCAGACCAAACCGACCTTACCTGGCTCGATTGATACCCCAACCAAAGCATTAGATGCCCTTCTCCAATCTGTTTTTTCCTGAAAACAATAAGTACACAGAATGGACAATTCTGTGGGCGAGGCTTAAGCAACCACATCTTGAGAACTCCTCCTCCGTCCCTCCACTAGGCAATGATGTTGCAACCAACCCATCCAACTTTAAGAACAGTAAAACTACAAGGACGACAACTATATTACTATTGCACCTTCAATCCTTGTTATATTTACCAAAAAAGCTAAGGCTATCACTTTCAACATTTTCTCTTTAATAATTTGAAAAAAAAAAATTATCCTTATTATTTGTAATTTTCTACTCTAAATTTAAATTATATTACTGGTGTTGTCTAGTATGGATTTATAATATATAACATCCCTATACAAAAACATGTCTCATGGCAAAAAATGTATCAATATCAATTTCCTGAAAATGAAAATGATTCTGAAAATGATTGACATTGAAAGATTTATGTACTGTACATGCATATATGTGATAATGTGAGGGCGAGAGAGTTTTGTGGCATTGGATGAGCCTAGCAATTAACGATGGAGTCGTAAGGGTTAGGTGGGAAACCAAATACTTGTGGGCAATAACAAGGGTAGGTGAGAGTTGGCCCTTAGTATTAGGGAGATCATCTCTATCCATATAATTATAAACATTTCCCTCTTCTTAATATGCATTAAAGGGCCTCCTAAGCAAGTGTTGCTGATGTATGTCTCACCTTTCTATTAGTTCTCTTTTATCTATATAATAAATATATTTCAACTTATTTGGGATCAATGGTTCGACATTCTTTTTTTCTTATTTCTAAAATTAAGAATTCGATATTTATTAAGAGCTAATATTGCTGAATATTTTTATAAAAGAGAATTAACAAAGTCAGTGAAGTATGTTCTAATTAGTTTTTTTTTCCTTAATGTCAATAAATAAGTATAAGAAAAAGCAAAATTTTAATAAATTCTTTCTTAAATTAAAAAAATGACACTTTAAATTGATGCAAGAAAACGGCATCCAAAATTTGACATGCACTTTTGATTTATAATTTGACCCAACCGGCTCAATGATAGGTCCGACTCATAAAAATTGCCAAACCACACAAGTGGTGGGAGATAAAACATGTAGGCATTTTTGGTGGGTCCACAAATGCTACAATTTCTAGGTAGAAATTGACCCCTTGCTTTTTGCCGGAACATGTGACTTGACTTCCATATTTGACAAACTCATTTTTAAGGACCATTTACAATATTTATTCATTTATAAATAGTTTAGAATCATATTATTAATCTTTTTTTTTTTTTTAAAAGAAACTTTATTATTAAGGAATTTCCACGAAATTGAGGTTCTTTTTTCAAATAATACTCTTCTGGTGAGTTTGGAATTGATTTTTTTTTTTTTTAAATTACACTATCAAATTGGTAGGCGTTGATATCATTTAGTTGCTTGTCTACTTCAAGATTTTGTAGGCCATATAGATCAAATTGACACAGCCAAATGATTTAATAAATTTCAATCAAACTATATTAAATTAAATTACATGAGTTACGAAATTTAAAATGGGATTAAAAATAGAATAACATTCAATTGTTTTTGGGTAGAGCTGAGCGGGGTGTGATATATGACTGAATAAATAATGGCAAACTGGTAATTTCAAGGGGACGCCAGGACACGTTGCTGAGAGAAGGGAAGGAGAGAGTCAGAAAGACAGGAATAATGTCTTTTGTGGTTCTCTATCGAAATTCGGTGCACGAGACTTCTGTCTACCCTTGTTAATTGGGCCCCACGTGTAAGCCGACATGTTCTTCTCACATCACAACCGGGAGCTCTGACTGGGCTTCACGTAACCTAACCTAACCTATTCAAAGCCCAAAAAAGACCAAACCCAAGCCCAAAATCAACATAAATCGGAAGAGTGTAGGACTTTCTTCTTCAACTATCTAGTTTGGAAGTTGAGTTTCTTGATACAGAAGGCAAAAACCAGCGCAAAAAAGGCACAAAATGCCACCAAGATTGCAGCGGTTGGACCCATGAAGTTGAGATCATACCCAAAATGGTTTTGCACATACCATTTGATGCTCGGGTCTGGCTCTATTCCGTTCACCTTTATAGTGTCTTCAATATCACCGTACTGTGTCACAATTAATCCATACACAGTCCACGCCACCGGGCAAATATAGTAGTACCATATCCACCACTTGGGAATTCTCTGCAATGTCACAGATTGGTTTCGAACATGTCTAAACGAGCAAAGACTTCAGTTTATAGTTAATGAAAGAAAGTAATGGAAATGAACTTACTGGTTTGGGGATGAAAAATCCAGAAAAAAGGGTGAAGAGAGCAAAAAATGCGGCAGCAAAGATAGCTGCAGCTTCTTGATTTGGCGTAATTGAAACAGTCATCATTCCGTAGTATGTGAAGTAGAGAAAGGAGAAGAAGGTGATGAAGAAGAACCAGAAGAACTTAGCCAATGTCCATTGGAAGCTCACCATAGAATATACTATAAGAGAATAGTATGTAGTTTGGATGAATACATATGGTATTTCAACAAAAACCTGCATTAAGAAAAAAATTAGTCTACAGAAAAAACTTATGCAATTAATTAAATTTTTCTGAGTTTTTTTTTTTTTTTTTTTTTTTTTTTTTTAGACGCTCTTCAACTCTATTCTCTTCAAGCATGCTTACCACTGGCTACTCCAATTTTGTGAGAGCCTGATAATACAACTCAGAACTCTTTTTCGAAATGATGTCCTATCAACTCTTAGTAAGTCTTTTCGGCTCATCTACTAAATTTCTATTTTGTCTTACTGTCATGTTCTCAAGGCATCGCTGCCTTCACTCATGACTTCTCTGTCCCTTTCTCGTGCTCGTTAGTCATGTAAGGTCTTTTCTCTTTTTTCTGCGTTCTTCTTCTTTAAGTTTCATTCGTTGTATCGCCTGTGGGCAACTTGGGTCAGGACTTTGTTCATTTTCCTCTTCTTTCTTTTCTTTGTGTTTCTTCTTGCTTCTGTCTTTTCTTGCATTAGTCTTTTCTTTTTCGGGCTCTTCTTTCCGACGTTTCATTCACTTGCTTTCTTGGTTGAATGTGTTCCAGTCCTAGCTACCCATTTTAAGTTACTATTCGGTTTTACCTGGTGCGCTTAGCTTTTCTTGCTCATTCTCACTTGTTCGTTTGCCCGTCGATCTGTGTCTCTCTTCGTGTCTCTGGTTTTCGGTGTCACCTGCTTTCCTCGGAACTCTATTCATTCAAGGACCAAATACTTGTCTGTTATCCAGGGCTTGGGACAACAGAAATAACCTGAGAGGGGTTAGACCGGAATTGAGAGACATGCTTGATTGCCCTCACTTGTTCAACATTCAGAAACATCAAGAACAGGCGTGAGAATCAATACCGATTTATTAGTGAGAAGAGGTCATCTCTTAGACTTTTCCTTTAGCAGTTGATTCAAGTTTGACATAAGAGTTTGACACATTTTCCCTCTTATACCAACTTAAAAGTCATAGGTCGTGATCATTAAGGCCCCTATTAGAGGGCAAATGGTTGGCCGTGAGGTTTATTGCGTGTCCTTTAACTATACCTGTCCCATTCTACTATTTTATATTCTTCATATATATATCAAATTCCCTAGTCCACTTGATTCACATACGTCAGTTGAAGCGCTCTTAGGATAGATATAATGTTACAATGATCTTGTTACAACCATTTCAGCTCTCTGTTCATAGTTGGAAGCATTCTTATTGAACCCTGTTGTCTGCAGACACCTTTTTCAGTTATCTTTTTTTCACAAAGTCTTCCTTCTGTAATCACTAACCGCTTAGATACATCTTTGATTTTGGGTTACTCGGGACGCCCAACATTAGTACATTAAAAATTCTCCCAAAATCATTATTACGAAAAATCTCCCTAGTCTCAACCCTGAAATTTTTGACAGATAATCCCCCGATTCTGTCCATTTACCTTCAACGAACCATAGAATTTCCTTAAACTAGGTTCTTCATAACATAACACATTTAAAGGACAGAAACTTCATTCCAGGCGCTCTTTTTGAAAAAACTCAAAAAAGTTCCTTTTAAGGTTTAAAAAAACGTCATCACCACCAAAAATTTTCCAGCGTCCAAATTCATATAAAGAGCGCATAAGAGGGTTTTTAAAGTTTGAGCAGGAAACCGGACTTTACCTTTGTTTATGGAAGGCTTTTGCTGCCTTGTTTCCTGCTGAAAGTTAACCCGTTTTTCGGATTTTTTTTTCCCCAATTTTTTTTTTTTTTTTCCCTTTTCCCGTTCCCCTTCCCCCCCCCCCCCCCCCCCCCTTTTTTTTTTT